ACTAGGTTCTTACCTAGGCCGCCCTTAGGCTACCTCTAACGTATTATTAGGTTAAGGAATTTGCCGGCCGTATCGTTAAGGCCGGCGGCGATACCCGTCTACTTAGGAAGTAGTAGATTTCGGGCTTTTTAGCCTAGAACCTAGAGATTAATACTATTAAAGGTAGATCTCTCGATTCTACTCGCGTTAACGGCGCCTCTATAGCCCGTATCGAGGAATAGTTCTAATTACTTAAGCTGCCGGCTATATAGGCAATCCTATAATAGTCCTGCTTTAATATAGATAAAACGGGCATCCTCGAGGGCCTCGGCTTTAATAGTCTAGTACTAAGGAGCTTAGAGAAGCGAGAGACTCTTAAAAAGCGGCTAAGATCGCGTTATTAAACTATAATAGTTAAATACGTCTCTACTATAGGCTAGGCCTTAACTCCCCTTATAATTTTTAAGGGTTAAGACCTTTAATATTAATAGTTCCTTAACGAACTTATTTTTCTATAATATTAGAACTTTATTGCCTCCTTAAAGGGCTAGATAAGTAATACTATCGCTATTTAATAGCTAAAGTAGGTTTTTATCCCTTAAATAAAGTATTATAAGTAGGGCAATACTCTTCTTATTATTAATAGCTATAGGAGCTATTAGACTAATAATTTTATATATAAATACTTCTAGAATAGTATATATCTCCTTTTCCTACTATTATACTCTTTATATATCCTCTAACTACTCGATATCTCGGTTTTCTCGCCTATTAAGGCTATATACCGACGTTAACTTAAGAAAATTATATCTTTTAACGATATAGCACTAATTAGTAAGGCTACCTTCCTTTATATCTACTACGAAGCCTAGTAGGCTAGCCTAACCAAAAAGAATATTAAGGGAGGTTAGCGCGGTTCTAGTTTATAGCTAATTAATATAGTAAAGCCCTTATTAAGCCGCTTTATCTTACCATAGCTATTAACGCCGTTAACGCTATTAAAATAGAAGAATATTAGCTCCTTAGCTAATAACGATGCCCTTAAAACGTCTAAACGATTATAAGAAGTTCGCCGCCTCGTTATAGGGCTAGAAAATCGCGGTTAAGTTAACCGTATAATCCGACTACTCTTTAGTAAAGTTAGCCGCGCCCTTAATAATTAAAATTAATAGCTTATAGCTACCTAGCTTTTAATATAATAGCTTAAGTATTAATTATATCTTCTATAGCCTCGAAAATAGAAAAAGGTTTTATAGGATCCTAATAGCCGGTTTATACGGATTAATTAAGTTATTAAGACAAGGCAGTAGCTCGAGTATATCCTCGAGCCAGCTGCTATTACCGTAGCTAATTAAGACATAGATTTTAAAGCTCTATATAGTAGCTAGCAGCTTAAATAGCTAGAAAACACTATAATTAACTATCGTAACGTTAAAATACAGCTTTAATTACTATTAAAATATACCTGCCTTAGTATTATAGAGAATACTAGTATTAAGGTATACCGGACTTTAGGTAAGCTAACTTAGCGTATAGCTTTTTAAGGACCTTTCCTAAGTAGTTAAGTAGACTTATAACCCTATAGGCCTTAGGGATAGTATAGTCTAGCTTATTTTACTTTAGAAGTATAATTCCTATAGCTTCCTTCTATGCCTTAAGGTAGTATCCTTAGTTAAATAGAGCTTTATAAGCCCTATTAAAGACTATAGGGATAGCTTTATATATATATATTAAATAAGGAGGAAGCTAAGGGAGTCTAGGCTAAGGGCTTTCTTATTAAAAGAGCTAAAAATAGCCCTCTTAATCTTAGGGTCCTTTAGCTCTAACTAGTCTTACTTAACTATGCCCTACTACCTATAGCCTAGGGGCTCTTCTTTTCTAGGCTCTAAGGGGGTGGGGAGGAGGCTAGGGCTAGGGTCTAAGGTCGGAAAAAGGGTTATTAAGAAGGCCTTATATTTTTCTATAAAGGTATTAGCTTTTACCTTTATCCCTTCTTTTATATATAAGATACTAGGAATAGTAAGGTTAGCTCTAGCCTTACTATAGGAAAAGGCTATAAAGACGTCCTTTCTTATTACTTTTATTAAGAAGCTCTCTTAGTATTACTTTTTAATAGCCCTAATAGTATACTTAAAGCTATTTCGGGCCTCTATAAAGCTCTTCTAGCTCTCCTCGTCCTAGGCTAGCTTATAATCCTATTAGGCTAGGCTTAGGGCTTTTTAAAAGTAGGTTAGCTCGTTGGTCTACTAAAGCTTAGATCCCTTATAAGGCTTATTTTTTAGTATTACTACGTTCGAGGCCTTTATAATAGTTCTTATTAAAAGGGAAGCTATCCCTTTTAAGTTATCTCTTTTTATAGCTATCTCTATAGCTATAAGGAGGTCCTATTCCTTCTTAGCTAAGTATTTTAAAAATACCTTTTAGTTTACTTTCCTATAATTATAAGTAGTAGGCCTAGCTAGTAAGGGCCTATTAGGGCCCCTTAAGCTAGCTTTAAAGGCTTTAGGCTTATAATCTAAGCCTATAGCCTCTAGGAAGCGGAAGTTAGCTTAGGTTAGCTATTTAAAGGGGCTATAAAAAGTAAGGTCTATAACTAAGGCCCCCTTTAAGCCTTTCCTTTAATAAGTGCCTTTTATAGCTACCTTAAGGTCCGTTAATAAGGAAGCCTTATAGTAGTCGAGCTAGCTAATAAGGGCTTCTACCTTATAAGCCTTAAAGGGTTCTATAAAAAGGTTCTATTAAAGGTAGTATAGGTTAAAGTCCCTTACTAAGAGGAAGGGCTATTATAGGAGTTAGGCTATTAGTAGTAGCCTTTCTATTATAAGGGGCCCTTACTAGCCTTAGCTAGCTAAGGCCCCTTTAACCTTTTTTTCGTTATATAGGTTAATAAGGGTAAATGGTTTAATGCTTTTTACCCTTATAGCTTATATATTAAGATCGTAAAAGAGGTTAAAGCTAGGGCTAGCTTCTATCTAAGCTTCCTTCCTCTTATATACTATAACCCTAGGCCTCTTAGTAAGCTTAAAGAAGTTAGTAGAAGGGATAAAGGTTATAATATTATAGGCTAGATACTATATAGGGATATAGCTATTATCGATCTTATAAAGGTAGGGCTCTTATACTAAGATAAGGTCTACTTTTATTTCTAGGGCTTACTCTAAGATCGATAGGTTAGCTATTTCCTACTTATTAGTATTATACTATATAATATTAATAAGGTTATAGTTAGGCCTAGGGGTCCTAAGGGGCTTTAAGGGCCCTATAAGTATAAGGGGGCTAGGGCTATTAAGTATTAGTTATTTCCTTATAAACTATATATTATACCTTATTAGTTATAAGGTACTCTTCTTTATAGTTATAGTATTAAACCTTAAAGTAAGAGTAGCCTTAGCTAGCTTTATAGCTAAGGTAGTTATAGTCCTTAGTTAGGTGCTTTTCTAAGTAAAAGGTATACTTAATAAGCTACTAGTAGGTCTAGGGGTTATAGTTAAAGGAAAGGCACCTATAGTACTATATATATATAGTATATTCCTTATAGGCCTTAACTTAAATCTATAGGCTTACTATATAGAAGCCTTTTTTCTAGTATCCGGCCCTTATAGCCTTTAAAGGGACTACGAAGATAATAGATCTTACCTTTTACGTTAGGCCTAGGGTACCTAGCTTCCTAGGCTACCTTAGGATATTAATCCCGCTAAAGGTTTTAGCTTCTATAGTAAAGATATCGAGGATAGGGGTCTCTAAAAGGTTAGGGACGCTCTAGGCTACTAGCTTAGTCTAGCTAGTAAGAAGGTCGGCCGATTTAATAAGTAGCTCCTTAAGGCATAGGCATTACTTTTCCTACTACTTTAAAAGCTTCTTTACTATATATAGGGTCTTTATTATTATAACTATATTACCTTTATTTAAAGTCGATAGAGCTAATATAGCTAGTTCTCTTATAGCTTTATTAAGCTTATTATAAAGAGTAATAAGGTTAATAGTAAGCGTTAGCGATTCCTTCTTTAGCTTTAGGATAAGTTAGAAGTCCTCTTTTACGTTCCTCTTAGCTAGGGCCTTAGTTAAGGCTTTTACTAGGGCTTTTACTAGAGCCTTAGCTAGGGTCTTAGCCGGGGCCTTAAGCGCCTTCTTTATAGTAACCTTAGCCTATAAGCTTACTTTAAGGTTTCCTTAGGTAGCTTTAAGCTACTAGGCGGCCTTAGGCTAGTATAGGGGCTATTATAGGGGCTATTAATAGTCTAGGGTTCTTATAGCTACCTTCTCGAGCCCTTCTATAAGGGTCTTATAAAAGGGTTCGATTTTTTAGGCTTCCTTAATAGCTTAAAGGGCCTACTAAAGGAAGCCCTAGGCCCGGTCCTTAAGAAAGGGGTGCTAGGGCTAGGGCTAGGTCTACTATAGGTATTAAAACGTAGGTCGGATAGGTATAGGGCTAATAGGGCTACTAAGGGCAGCTCTCTTTCGCTCCTTTACTTACTTTAAGGGCTAGTTAGGCTAGAAGTAGCTAGCTTAAGGCAGGGCTAGGCTAGGCCTAAAGAGGCTAGTCTTTAGTATAGGCTAGGTATTATCTTTTATCTCTATATCCTTTAAGTCTTAGTCTTAGGTCCTAGGCCTTTCTTCTAGGGTCCTTAGAGGGCGTTAGCCTTCTAGAGCTTCTTTTAAGTAGGCCCTAGCCTCTAAGGTGCTTATTTCGACCCTTAGTTTAGGGGGGGGGGGGGTTAAAGTTAAAGGGGCCCTCCTTAGGTCTAGGCCGGGGTCCTAAGTCGGGTCCGGGCTAGGTCCCGTTAGCGGGGGGCATATACCCTTAGTCAGCGAGGGCGGGGAAGAGTTTTCCACCCGTATAGGGGAGAACCTCGCCTAATTCGCAATCTTTAGCAGCATATTGCGCACCCGCTAGTAGCTGCACGAGGCTGTACTTAGGGGGGCATAATACGCTATTCGCGGCGGTTCTAGGCGTGTGCTTTTTTCGTGTTTTAGGCTTGGTTTCGAAAAGTTGGCCGAGAAGACGTGATGTTGTTTTTGTTTTAGGTAGTCGTGATGCGGTTCCGGGGGTAGAAAGACCCTGGTTCCACAAAACGTCTGCGCTTGTTGCTGATGATTGACAAAGCCGAAGTCTGCCACCTGGAAAATATACTTACCATCTCTTATATAGTAGAGAACGTTTGCGGATTTGACATCTCTATGATATAAGTGGCGGGAGGAGAGGTAGTCTAGAGCCAAGAGCATCTGGTATGTTATTTCCAGGACGATGGGCTTCTCTTGCTCTGCTGGCAAGGGTAGCATGTTGCATAGGCTTCCAGCTCTAAGTGGCATAAAGATGGGAACCCGCTTTTCAGAGGGCGTCACTGAATCCCAGCTTGAGTAGCCGAGGAGCTCGATGATGTGCGGCTTCGCCGAGGAAAAGAAATAATCAGTAAAGCATCTTACGAGGATCGGGGAGTAGAGATAGCAAACGAACATGCTTGAGTGTTCCGAGCGTCTTGATCTCTCTATGGAGATTCACCAGTTCTCTATCATTCGCGGGGCAAACAGTCTTTACTGCAACGCATTGGCCCGAGTCTAGGTCGATGGCTCTAGACACTGTGCCAAATGCTCCGGAGTCTACGTTCTGTTCACAGAGCACTTCTTGAACATCACTGGCCGCCTTGGATAGTAGCCTAGTGTGGTACCAACTCTTAACGTCCGAGTCGTCATCGCATTCTGTCTTGAGCCAGTAGGGGTTGAGAGCGCGAGCCTCGGCAGCCTGGAAGGCAGCATGAACGGTCCGAGACGTGGACAAGGTATCTAGTTTCCAGAGAATTCGGAATCGAAAGGGTCGGCCATTACCAGTGCATATGGCAACATCGTACTCCCCTTCTGGTACAAGGACCACCTGGCGAAAGTCACCGTCCGAGCTCAACCCTCGTGGGCCCACGCCGACCGTCTTGACGTCCTGGGCACGAACGCAGAACAGGATTGCGCTAGAAATGGGGTGAGCTTCAAAGGCAACGTGGACCTGGGATATATGCCTGGCGGGCAGCACTAGGTCGGCATCGCGCCCAAGCCTGGCGATGACCCGACCCCCGCGAGGCCGCGATGACTCGTGATAGCCAATTTCCAGGGCCACATCGCCGTTGGCAGCGCGGGAGACAAAGGGGGCGTTGCGTTGGTGACGAAGAATGGCAGCTGTGGAGTCGTCCTCAGGCTTGAGGTGGAAGATGGTCTCGGGATGAGCAGGTCTGACCATTCTGAAGCTGGGTGGGTGGCTAACGAGACAGAGTGACAACCATGACCGACCCTGTTGGCAGATGGCATCTGGAACAAACTAGGATCCCCTATTGACATTGATATACCACCGGCGGGAGCGACGACCAGCAACACGTTCCGCCCAACTTCTAACCTCGTGCCACGTACGGAACGGAACGTTCATCTTGGCGGCCGCGAGGCGACGTGCTAGCCATTCAAACCGTGCCGTTGGACGCATTGACACAGTAACTTCCCGAAAGCGGCTGCCGGCATTAGTCGTCGGGCAGCATGGCCAATCGCCATCGTCCTGTTCCGTGAGGCTGCATAATATGGATAAAACAAAGAAATGGCGTGACGTTGCGGTCAGTGGTTGCACCAGTCACGTACGTGCCAACCACAGGGCGCCAGGCCTTCCCTCCTTCCACTCTACCTCGCGATTACCTTCTCTCGTTTTGGCCATGATTCAACAAGTTTGTTTGGACATGGACGCAAGCTTGAGCCCCGTGCCGGCCAATGCATCGGTCCATCAGCTGGACGGGCAGCAGCTCAATGATTCCCAAGTGCACGACATGGCTGGCAACTAGACATTAAAAAACCCCACGGGTAGAGCGCTCTGGGTACACCCATTAGAGCCCGTAGGCCGAAATATGTACCCCAAAAAATTCATACTTAAGGTCTAGGGTAGTGCTTCTAGGTACCCATCAGCAGGATCAAGACTTATAAACTATACCAATAACACCTCCATATGGGGGTGCCCCTATTTTGCTGGTGGTCAAGTGGTATTTGCTATGTTTGACAGTACCCGTTACTTTTCTGGGTTGCCACAAGTGCCTATGGAGTCCCAGTTTATAAGTCTACTGGCAACCTCGAGCTCCTCGAGCATGCCCGCAACCGTCACTTCGACGCGACGAGCCTCCGCCCTATCGCTCTCCAACGCCCGAGGACGAAGAGTATGATGGCGGACGTGACCGGCGAGTCGTTGACCACGGCAATTCGCCGTCAGACTAGGCAATGGCGTTGATGTCTCCCCACGAAACGGACTGGAGAGCGGTCAAAGAAGTCCGCCTCTCACGTCTAGCCTGGAAAAGTGATGTTTTAGTGGATGTGCGGAACTTGATCAAGGGAATAAAAGCCGACAGCCAGCCATGAACAGTCAAAAAGGCACGCCCCATGTAACACGCCGACGCTAGCACTACTCGATTAATTGAACTAAACCCTATTTACCCTTTTTACAAGTTCGAAGACCTCCTCTATGCTGGACTGAAATTCAGTCAAGGAGTGGCCCCAATAACATGACGTGTGCCGAGTAACTCATTATCTCCAGAGGCGTCCCGGTGCCCATTCCTACCTCGAACGAGGGCCAACGCCAGGCATTCATTGACGAGTTTGTTTCGTGAAGAAGCTAGCGGCTATGACATTGTTTGGCGCGCGAATGCAAGGCGGCTGTGACTGTCCCGTGGAGAACTCTTGCAGGGCTGGAAGTCGCAGCTGTCTTCCGTTGCTGGGTTAAAAAAATCGAGGGAGCTGTTGATTAAGAGCTATCCAAAGAACTTTGTATGGGAAACTGAGGGCGGTTTACTCGACTTCGTGGACGACAAGTTGAATGGATGGCTAAGTAGGAAGTTAGTTGAAGCCAGAGGAGTGCAAGCGACGAGTGACAGACGACGGAAACCCTTAGCTGCAAAGCAAATGGCGCCAAACTCGCGAAATGAAGTGCCCGAGACGGTCTGGTCGCTTCAAGCCGGCTTCGTCCAGTCTGGGGTCGACCAAACGGCAGCTAACAAGAAAAGTCTACGCTGCCTGCTGCAGGATCAAAAGCCCAGCCTCCAGGATCTTCTTGCTCTTTCATTTGCTCCCCCCATCCTTACATGTATTGGTATTGGATATTCTCAAGGCCCCAAGCACAACCCACCGGCGAGGGAGGCCGGCTATGGTGACGGCAATTACTTCACTCAGCGAGAGCCCGCTTTCTACGAGCGCTGCATCAGGTCGACCGCACGGTGAAACGGGCTAACCGTAGGTCGGCGCTAGATGGAGCGTGGACTCTGGAAGATCAACTTGTGAGCCCAGAGGCCGAGGATGAGGCTTGAAGGCCGATTGGCCATCTTGGACCGTCCAGCCAAATCAAGGTTTGCGGGTGCTCGTTTCAGATGCGCATACTACTAGGGGGTCTTCGGTTCAGGGGGCTTTAACGACAACGAGCAAAAATAAGGCTCGCGGATCGTTGCCATAAAAACCCCCCTAGTCAGCTATTTAGCTCCGGCCGCTTGCTCTCTCTCCTCCGGCGCCCCGGCGCTGCCTCCTCATGTCTAATCAAGGCAATCAAGGGTCCCTGGACAGAATGTGCCCGGAGTTCACGATATCGGCGTGGGGCAACGGTGAGCCCAGAGTACAAAGGGAACGCCATGAAAGGATGGGACGTGGCTTGGCGGGTTCAGGGCCGTGACAACAACGGCGAGGCCGTTAGGCTGTGTGCGCCCGCGGCCGTGCGTACGCTTTGAGGCGGCTGTTTATCATGTTGACCAGCCCCCGGACCAGGGAAATAAAGGCATGAGCAGAAACTTATCCGCCGTGGTTGGGGATTGAAGCTCAATCTCGACGGTGACGGTAGACGGTGACGGAAATGAAGGCATCACGTCGACGAGACTTGCTCGATGGAGATCAATCCATCCTGGCAGCCCGGCTGGATCCGGACCCGCAACGGTACGAAGTATTGCGAGCGAATGCCAGCATGGTCGTCTTCTTCCTTGGGGATCGTAGGAGAGCATGCTTTGCATTAGACCACACACCCGCCCGGGTCCGCCGGAGGATATCCATCCATTCCCTGTCTGCACGCGCAGATCAATCCGGCATATGCCGGGCAAACAATTGAGCCTCGCTTCGATGCAGATGTCAGGATGAGGGGGCATTCACAGGGATCCCCTGGTATCGCTACCGGCGGTCGGATTCTACCCGGTTGGTGTTCCCCCAAATTTAGAACTTGTTTCTTTTTAAGCTCGATCACATCACCGAGATGCCAGCCCTTGGCACATGCCTTCGGGAATCTCCTCCAAAGGACAGCCAGAGCCATGGAACTGCAAGAGACGAAAGTGGTATGTAATGCGTCAACATGGTTGCTTAGCATGGAAAGGCGATAGCCATCTTGGATGCATTGGGGGGGCCTGAGCTAAAGCCAAGCCGCCACAACGACCTCGCAGGGCTGGACGGGGAAATCAAGCAGCCAAGGGAGGGGCTTTTGGGTATTAACCAGGCTACAGGTAGCCATCGAGGATATCCGAAAGCCCGAGGGTTCAGGCACTGGGGGCGGCCACGGGACGCCTGGACAACTGATGCTGCGGCGTCTCCATTAGGCCAACAGCTATAGCTATCCCCCCTCCTGACACGGCGAGTCTGTGAGCAGCTGCGAATTCCGCCTCTTTTCCAAGTCGAAAGCATTTTCATTTGCCAGTGCAATCCGTCTGAAGCCTTTCTTCTCATCTGGGTGGCAGTTGAGCTCGTCTGTGTCCGTCATTACATCGCTGGTGCTCGAGATGCAGCCAAGTGATTGTCTCGGGTTCTGCGGATTGTTCGCGCCGGGCCATCGCCGCCTTGGGCCTTCGATGTGCCCTGGCAGGCCTGAACAGCTCCGCGTAGGCGGTGCATTCGCTTCATTGATCGAATTCTCCAGGGGGGTGAGGGGGGATTGGCAGGGACGCAAAGACCTGCCCGGGATGCTGGTAAAGGAGAGAGCAGGAGAGAGAGAGAACATGGCGGGCGATTTCGGTGGTGGATTTGGGTAGTGACAAACGCGCGCATCTGCGCATGTACCTAGGCGCAGCTACTTGTCGGCAGAGTACCTGGCACTACTTGCTCCTCATGTACCTCTGAAACTTGCACACCGTACTCTGTCCACCTAGACTTCCTCTGCCAGGCTGGCCGCTTTGATTCCTCAACCACGCCAAGCCGTCGCTCAACCACAGACCGAGAGCACGCCGGGACGCTCTGGCAACGTCTGTCCCCTCCACCGTCTCAAACCCGGTCGCAAATGGTCATCGCTGACAGCCATGGTCGAGGGCAGACGGGGCCCGCGGTCGCGCCAACCACCACTGCTCGCTCTTCGTTAGCACGCGACCAAAGCGCCGTCCGCTGGTCCCCTTGACTCGGGCTCCCTCTAATCTTGATCCGCCATGGCCCTGTCAGGCCGTCCGGGCTGAAATCCCTGCGGGCCGTCCGCACGCAAAGCCTGTTCTCACCGTCACGCCCCGATTGAGGCCTCTCTCTCTCTCTGGGACCGCCCGCCTCAGGATGGCCACACCACCCCGGCCTCTGCGGTGGCCCATGCCGCAGAGATGAACAGGGGATGCTGAGCCTCGCCCAAGCCCGTTTGACATGTCTGCTCGGTCTTGACGAGGCGAGCTCCGCCATGGCTGCACGTCAAGCTCGGTTCTCTCTGATGTCAGTCTTCCCGAGTCCTGAGCGTTTTGCTATATAGATCTGGACCTTCCTCCCGCTCCTCTCCCGCTTCTTCTGTCCCAACTCATCAGAGGCTTGTTTCCGTATTTCTTTCCTTCGTCTACTTCAGTGTCAGAGTCGCTCGTTTCCCTTTGACATATCCTTCCTTCGCTTGATAACTGCGTCCGTTTATTCTTCGCGGCAAGGGCCGGTTTTACCCTTCTCTCGTTCTCTTCTCCAACCGGAATTCTGTTCCTCTTCCAGAAGACTCAGCTCGTTTCACCACGGAGTTTCTTCAACATGAAGATCTCCCTTGCCTTGCTGGCAGCTGTCGCCTGCTTTGAACAGGCCAATGCTACCATTGTGGGTTTCAACCATATACATGGGCACTTCAAGACAAGACTGACCCTTTCCGATACAGAACCTGGGCAAATTCAAGCAACAGTTCCTTGGCGCCCCCGTCTTCAACACACCAAACAACCTTGACAATGTCTGCAGCACTGAGCAGCAAAAGGGGTGGGACTTTCAAGACCTCAAACCCAAGCAAGAGATCAAGGAGTACCAGGGCTTTTCCATGCAGGGCTTCTCTTCCGACCAAGAGGACGACACGGAGAAGCGCTCCACCTTGGGACGCCGCACCTTCAAGAAGCTCCTTAGCTGCGGTTGCAAGCAAACGGTAGCCGAGGCCCCTTCCATTTCCGGGAAGAAGGGGTTCTCCATCAAGGAAGTCAAGGTTTCCTGCGCCAGGGAGGGCAACATCAAGCTCAGCTACTCGATGCCCAACGGCAATATCTGTGAGACCTTCGCCGGCTGCGGCAAGCGCATGTCCACTGTCACCAACGACCAGTGCGGTGGTGCCATTAAGGTCTCCTTTCTCTACATGGATGGCGGCAAGCTCGAAAGGATCATGGCGAAGTTGGGAAAATGCAGCATCAAGGTCTACCAGATCATCTGGAACTGCGGAAAGAACAAGCCTCCCCCTCCCCAGACTGTCACCCGTGGTGGCGAGACTGTCACCCGCGGCGGCACGACGGTTACTTTGGCTCCTCCCCCGGCGCAAACTGTCACCAAGCCTGGAGAGACTGTCACTCGTCCCGGTGAGACGGTCACCCGTCCCGGACAGACGGTCACTCGGCCCGGCAAAACTGTCACCCGCGGCGGCGAGACCATTGTCCAGCCCCCTCCCCCAGCAGAGACTGTCACCCGTCCCGGCGAAACTGTCACTCGTCCCCGCGAGACGGACACCCAGCCCGGTATGACGGTTACTCGCGGCGGCGAAACCATTGTCCAGCCCCCTCCTCCGGGCCAGACTGTCACCCGACCTAGTGAGACGGTCACCCGCGGCGGCGAGGGCAGCTCGACGTGCATCACGACATCTGTAGTCACCTGCTCTGCTGGATCTCCCGCTGCCTCCGCCGTTCCCGAATGCGCGGCAGTGCCCCCCGGCAGCCCCTCCGCCATCACCAAGACGGGCACCGCCACTGGCACCAACTGCCCGGCCACGCCGACTGGTGGAGCGGGGAAACCTCCAGGGGAGCAGCCGCCTCCACCTGGACAGCAGACGCCTCCTGGACAGCAGCCGCCTCCGCCTGGACAGCAGCCGCCTCCACCTGGACAGCAGCCGCCTCCGCCTGGACAGCAGCCGCCTCCGCCTGGACAGCAGCCGCCTCCTGGACAGCAGCCGCCTCCGCCTGGACAGCAGCCGCCTCCACCTGGACAGCAGCCGCCTCCGCCTGGACAGCAGCCGCCTCCGCCTGGACAGCAGCCGCCTCCGCCTGGACAGCAGCCGCCTCCGCCTGGGCAGCAGCCGCCTCTGGGACAGCAGCCGCCTCCGCCGGGACAGCCGACGCCTCCTGGACAGCAGACGCCTCCTGGAGGGCAGCCGTCTCCTCCTGGAGGGCAGCCGTCTCCTCCTGGACAGCAGACGCCTCCTGGCGAGCAGACGCCTCCTGGCGAGCAGACGCCTCCGCCTGGACAGCAGACGCCTCCTGGAGAGCAGCCACCTGCTGGACAGCAGCCGCCTGCTGGCAACCTGCCCTGCCCCATCATGGTTCCCTCGTGCATCAACACCTTTTTGATGATGGACATGGGAATGAAGTGCAAGGACAATCTGGATGTTGGATGCTTCTGCTCCAATGTTAAGTTCACCGAGGCACTCTACTCTTGCTTCTATGCTCGTCGCGGCAATGATGACGAGTTCATCAAGGCCCAGATGTTCCTCCAGGGCATGTGCGCCCAGTTCATCCCCAAAAACCCTAACATTGCTACTGGTGGTCAGGCCATCACCTCGGTCATCACCGTCACCGGCACACCCCGCTATGAACAGACCGATTACACCACGGTCATGGTTCCCAACACCGTCAGCGAAGGCAGTACTACCAAGGTTGTCACCAGCACGCTAGCCATTCCTCAAATCGTTCTCCCGGCTGCTGGTCCCGGTGCCCCCACCGGTATCCCCGAACCACCCGAGACGGGCAAGACCGGGGGTCCTTCCTCTGGGTCCGAATCAGGCTCAGACTCTAGCTCCGGCTCTAGCTCCGGCTCTAGCTCCGGCTCTAGCTCCGGTCCCGGCTCTAGCTCCGGCTCTAGCTCCGGTCCCGGCTCTAGCTCCGGCTCTAGCTCCGGTCCCGGCTCCGGCTTAGGCTCAGGCTCCGGAAGTGGCGATGCTAGACCTGGCAGCCCGGTCTCCCCTCCGAATGTCATCGGAACCGGCACTGGTGGCATCCCCGCACCGACTGGCAGCGGTTTCCCGGTGACCGCCGGAGCCACCCGCGTCGGTGTCAGCTTCGGCGCCGGCCTGGCCATTATGGCTGCCATTGTCGCTCTGTAAGGCATGGCTGTCACCCACGACTTTTCTTTGTTTCCGCCTCCCTAAGCGAAGCCAGAAAAACAAGCACGAAAAACTAAACCAAGGAAAGGCTTGCATGCTGGACTTTCATACCCCGTTGATTGATACACTGCGCTCCTGCGCGTGGGCGGCGACGTTCTCGCGGTTCAATTCTTACGATCTGCACTTCAAAAAGCCCTACTGGCACGGCATCTGCACTGGCGCCGCCTCGGTAGAGAAGGCGAGTAGTCTGGAGATTAGCGTTCCTGAAGATCTTGTTCGGATCCAAGTTGTGTGCTTGGAGAGCACATGTGTATACCGACTTGAACTGGCCTCTTTTAATCATAATAGAATATTGGTGAGCGAATACTTGAACCACTTGATCTTCGCTCTGTGATGTTTGCGCATCAATGTATTCCATTGTCATCACGTGAAAAATAGGCTGATACCCATCGACCTAGTGGTCCTCGTGGCACTGCCTGAGGCCCTTGCAAGTGACAAACTCGTCTGAGCAGGCCAGCAAGTCGTAGAGACATGGGCGCAGTTTCGGTTTGTGCCTAGACTTGAGAAAGAAGCGCACGTTTCTGATGCGCATTATTTGCCCGCCGAAGCTTCGGTAGCGTCGAGAAAGGGACGAATCACAGAATCTAATGTATACCTTAGTACCGATCTACATTAAAAACACACTGGAGTTATCGCGTCGCTCCCCCAAAGACCTTGCTCTCACAGCTTGGCCCCCTTGGCCTTGCGTGCCTGGGCCTCCTTGTCCTTGAGCAGACGGCGCAAAATCTTGCCCGTGGGGCTCTTGGGGACGGCGTCGATGAACTCGACGCCGCCCTTGAGCCACTTGTACCGAGCTGTGTGGTCCTCGACATGCTTGCAGATGGCGGCGGCGACGTCAGCTTCGGGGCGGGCGTGTGCCTCGTGGGCCTTTACGACAAAGGCCTTGGGCACCTCGCCGGCGCGGTCATCGGGGATGGGGATGACGGTGCAGTCGGAGACGAAGGGGTGCGCGAGGAGGTGGGCTTCGAGCTCGGCTGGGGCGACTTGGTTGCCCTGTGCGGCCATGTTAAGAAGACGACGAAGAAGATGAAGGATACCACTCAGCCATTGGGGGGATGGGGAAGGGAATGGTTGACGTCGCGAACATGGCATGACGATGACCTTACCTTGACCTTAATGAGCTCCTTGATGCGGTCAGTGACGAAAAAGTGCTCGTGGCCCTGGCTCGACTTGCGGACGAGCAGCTCATCGCCTGTCTTGAGCCAGCGACCGTCCTCGTCCCAGACAAACGTCTCGGCGTTGGCCTGCTCGTTGTTGAGATATCCCAGGACAATGGACGGGGACTGGACAAGCAGCTCGCCGCGCGTCTCGTGCTGCGTCACCTCGTTGCCCTCGCCGTCAACGAGCTTGGCCTTGGTGCCGGGGATGAGTGAGCCCGACGACCCGGGGAGACAGTCCGTCTCGATACTGCACACGACACCCGGGGACGACTCTGTCATGCCTGTAAGAGGGGGAAGATGAAATAAAAGTTCGCAGTCAGCGCGCACATCCTCGCGGCTGGCTTCCCATGGGCAAGGGAAAATACTCGCCGTAGCCTTGGCCCAATTTCCACTTGGGATACAGCTCGCGCAGGCTGTCCATGACCTGAGCCCCCAAGGGCGCGGCGCCGCTAAACACCCAGCGGACGCTGCCGAGGTCGTACTTTGCGCACTTGTCCTGGTTGGCGATGATCTGGATGAGCATGGGGGGCACGACGCTGAGCATCTCGACGCGGAAGCGCTCGACGGCGGCGAGGGCGGCGTCGAGCTCAAACTTGGGCAGCACGACGGTCTCGTCGCCGCGGTAGTGGGCGACGAGGGCGACCATGACGAGGCCGTAGATGTGGCTAAAGGGCAGGACGCCCAGGCTTGTCTGCGTCTGGATGCCGAGCTGCTTGCGCGGGACCGAGTCGCCAATGCAGAGCTGCGTGATGTTTGCGATGACGTTGAGGTGGGAGATCATGACAGCTTTCTACACTCGTCCATGGAATTAGCCCTCTTTCCCTCGCATCCTCTCCTCTCCCATACAGCCTATACGAAGTATAGGATACGAAGTATAGGGAAAAGACGGCCGCCTTACCGGCAGACCTGAGGTGCCGCTCGAGTAAGAGAGATAGGCGGTTTGCCTAGCACCCTGCCCCTTGATCCATCTCAGGGGCTCGACAGGGGGCAGGGCCTGACCCTCGGCCACGAGGTCGTCGATGGTGACGAGCGGCGGCGATGACGAGGCGGCGTGCCCGGGCAGGGGCAGGAGGAAGATGCGATCGTCGGGGATGGCGGCGGCGCGGGCGGCGGCACGGGCATTGTCGAGCAGCGGCAGGCAGGTGAAGATGGCCTTGACGCTCGAGGAGCGGAGCTGGTGCTCGAGCTCGCGGGCCGAGTAGGCGGCGCTGGCGGGGGTGACGATGCCGGAGAGGCGGTGGATGGCGTGAGTCAGGGGGAGGTAGTCGATCTGTGGTTGGATTCGTGCGGATATAGCATCCAGCATCCGGTCAGCGCCAGCGGGGGCGATCAACGCGTTGCCGCAAGAGACGCACCGTGTTGAGCGAGTAGACGGCCACGACGCGGTCCCAGGCGGTGCCCTCGTTCGGGCTGAAGCCGAGGCGCTTGCCGATGGCGCGGGCGAGTAAGTCGGTCCGGCCGGCGACGTCGGAGGCGCTGCGAGTGAGGCCGCTGAGGCCGCACGTGTACGGGTTCCGGGATGAGGCGAAGGGGCGGCGGCCGTAGGCCTCGTTGCTGATGAATTCCTCGACGGTGATGGAGTCGGGGAGGTCTTCTGGGAGTGGCGGGTTATTAGTGGATGGACTTGGAGCATGTCTCTCTCTCTTTATGCATGCTTATGTGTGTAACGCTTGCATGCCGCTGAAGGGAGCAAAGGAGAGAGCAAGGGTGAGAGCAAGGGTGGGATTCGAGGTGAGACACGGTGAGCAAGCCAACGACCAAGACGCACCGGGAAGTTTCGGCGCCCAAGCCGGGGGCACAAAGACCATGGTGAGTGGTGGGAAATTTGCTTTCCTGGCCGAGACGGCAGACGATGGATGGCGTTTCACGACAGCAAGAAATGGGGACGCGGATTGGACAGAGCGGCGGAGAGACAGCACGGCCGGGAGTTGGATAAACAAAGAGACCGAGACAAAGCTCGGGCGCAAAGACGGGACACGATTGATGTCGTCCTGTGAGCTGCTCCACGACGAAGGGGCGAGAGGGAAAGACGGAGAGGGAAAGACGCAGAGGGAAAGGACATGGTAGAAGTAATAAGGGTAGGGTAGTAAGAGTAAGGGCTTTGATAGCTCCACTCTCCACTCTTCTCCGCATCCGCTCGACCGCTCCCGGTCCCGGATTCCAGGCCGGACTTTTATAACCGCCTACATCCGGTACGAGCGCGTAGTTACAGATACACGATAAGCCAATGATGGACCATCCCCTCGTCCCTCCAGTTTGCCACCGGCGGCCCTCTCCGGGCTACCTACGTTGCACAGCATAATTATAGTGTCGTACGGATGCTGTCAGACCATTGGCTCTGCGGCCCGCATGGCAGGGCAATAATAGCACGAGGATGAAGTAGGTGAGCTAAATAGTAGTGGCGCTTTGAGATGTGTGTGTGATTGCGTGTGTGAAGAAGAGGGAGTTCCTGACGCCATTTAAATAGTTATTTTTCTTATAGTAGGTTTGTGACTCTCTGGGGGGTAATTGGCTAATTTCCCTGCGCCGTCCTCCGGGTCCTCACACGTGACCAACTCTACGATCAGTCCCGTGACCTTTGCTATAACTTTATATATACACGTAATAAGCAGGAGAGTATAAATCCGCCCCGTGAAAATACGAAAAGGGGGAGTGGAAGAGCTGGTATTGGCTCGTATGGCCGTACATTGCATGGTACAAATCAGTCCGACTAATTTCAGTATGTGCTTGCTCTTTCAGGTTGTTTTCCGAGTTAAATATATAGTTTACGTCTTAGATTGAAACCATAGCGATCTTAAGGAAGCGACTGCCTAGTTGCCCTATCCTACCCCTTTGCCATTCCTCTTTCAGGAATCGCCGTTCGTCAGCCAGTCGAGTTGTTTCGACTCGGCAACATACATCTTCCTCTCGGAATTCGTATTTCGAATACACTTCCCCCCGGCAACTGTGAAGAAGTCTTCAATTTACTCCTTGACGGCGCAGTTCCAAACGTTCTCGCCTCCAGGGATAGTCGCGGAACCGATCTTAGCCTGCATACACAGCGTGCCAGACGGTGACTTCGGATGTTGCAGCATCTATGCCTATTCTAAAGCCCCTTGCCGGTATCAAATATTATATTACGCCCGAGGGCCTCCAGCAAATAGAAACATGACTATTTTGTCACAGGCAAAGTCCGAGACCTCGCGTCGCCTACCTTCCACTGTCCCCTCTTCCGCGTCATTGAGAAGTTTGCAGGGAGTTTTGCTGACCGGGCGCCTGAAATGAAGGTCAGCCCGGTGCAGATCCAAGCATTCCTGCTCGAGCATTGGAAATCGTCTCGAGAAGAAGTGGACGGCGTCATAACTTGGGTCGAGGGCGAGGGGGGACTCGGGGGAGGATGCAGTCCGCTGAGTAACCCGACGTGAGGCACGATTGAGGCAAGTAACACGGTACCGGATCATGAGATTGCTATATGTGATTTAATTAAATCCGTAGAATGGATGGCTATAGGACCCATGGGGCTCTCGTTGGCTCAGATGGCTTTGCTAATACTCTTCAGGCGACTTTGCAGGAACAGTTATAATCCCCGAGTGAGTAACTCAGCGGTAGCCTTAAAGTCGGTTATAGCTTCCAACAGGCCAATTACTTAGCTAATAATAGAGACAAGTAATGAACGCTTATAAATAACGTTAAGGATATTTCGCTAACACCTTATAGTTTAGAAGTGTTACTGCCAAGCTGGTGAAATACCGCTACACCATGCAAAATAGGGGCACCCCATTAGAGGTGTTATTAACGGGTATTATAAGTCCTTCTCTGCTCTGACAGTTTCATACTGTGAGGAAACACTAGGTTGTGCAGGCAAAAGCGAAGTGACACTCTAACAGATGACCTGGAAGGGGACCCTATATGCCATGGAGGTGCTGGTGGCAGCTGACACATACGTTGAGCTAGCCGAGGACGGTACAGGCGGGTACGCGCTGGAATGTTGGCTCCCCCGAATTTTGTGTTTTACGGTAGAACATACAGTCGAGTTAGGGTTTGATATGAACTTACCTACAGTCGCCCGTAGGTATTATGTTATGTATATGCTTGCACGCATGCACGCATGTAGGGAGTATAACTGCGCGCGCACCAATAAAACGCGGCTGACCCCTTTCGGCCCTCGAATGAAGATAGGAAAAGTCTCCCAAGGGAGAGAGCCAAAGAGAGGAAACAACAAAACAAACCACCGCCAACCATGACATCTATAATGCGCTATACAGGACAACGGACTGTATACAAATATGCACAGCAAAAAAGAAAACAGATCGCTCACCAGACACCCCCGCCGTACACCATCGTCAGGCTCAGCGCGGCCATGACGACGGGCAGCCAGCGCGCTGCCCCGGCCCGCGTGCCGGCGTTGTCGTCGCCGCCGCCGCTTCCAATGCCCGAGGGGCCTGGCTTGATTGTCTGCGTGACGACGGCGCCCGTCTTGCACGAGGGATCGATGGTGGGACACGAGGTCACGGTGTAGACGGTCGTGTAGGCCTCTGTCGGGTAATTGCTGTGTCTCGTCCGCGTCGGCTGTGTCCAGGTTCATCGTCAGCCAGCTCACCAAGAAACGCCATGGTGACGGGGTCCTTGAATGAGACAGAGAGGCGGAGCTTACCTCGTCGGTTCCGGTGGGCCGGGCGTCGTCCTCCCGGCAGTTGCCTGTAACCCGGGGCACGGCGTCGGGCCCGGAGCCGACGGCCACGATGTCGGCTTTCCCACAGTTGGCGGCCTGGGCGACATGAACGGCCTCGTTGTCCCAGTCAAAGACGAAATACCCAGCGCGAAGAACCGAGTCGCCGAGAATCTGCTGGTCCGTCGTCAGGACGAGGCCGACGTAGCAGACGGACGAGGAGCCCGTCAGGTCGAGGATGAACTCGGACAGCGGCACGCGGATCGTCTTGCCGCCGAAGCCAAAGTCGACGCTGCCCCGGGTGCGGGCCATGGAGCAGGGCACCTTGTAGTAGCCCTCGCCGTCGTCGCGGGCGTCGAGGGCCTCGAGGATGGGCAGCGCCACGTTGGAGTGCATGCGCGAGACGGTGGTGCCCGAGTCGAGCATGACATTGGCGTCCTCGCCGTCGACGTCGAAGCTGCGCGGCTTCGACGACAGCGTCACGCCCACGGTGTTGAGCTCGACGGCCAGCCGGTACTCGCCCTGAACGCCGCGCACCACGGGCCGCCGCTCCAGCCGGCCCACAAACTTGCTGCGGTCGACGCCGCCGTAGATGACGGCCCCCTGGTCGGCGGCCGAGTGGCGCAGGTCGAGCGAGAAGACGCGGCTGGCGATGACGCCCTGGGCGGCCATGGTGTTGAGCACCAGGCTGTACGGCTTGTCGCTGTTGACGCCGCCCTTGAGGGCCGGTGCCAGTCCCAGGATGCCCTGCGACTGGCCCTGGCTGGCCGAGACGACGCCAAACGTCTGGTTGGCGATGCTCGCCTTGCCCAGCGTGATGGTGTCGCGGTAGTAGCGGATCGAGACGGACGTCTGCGTCGTCTGGTCGCTTGGGTCGCCATAGTTGATGACCTCCTTGCCAAAGGGCCCGTCGGGCGGCGTCTGGGATTGGCCCGGATCGTATCGCCCGAAGCCCACGCACTGCTGCGACTGCGCCGTCGTCAGGGCCGTGCGGCAGTCTGGGTTTACCCACAGCTCGCTCGAGCCCGTGTCGACGAGGACGGTGACGCGCTGAGGCGGCGATCCGATGTTGACTGGAGACACACATCAAGCCGAAAGCCCCCGCGGGGGTTGGCTTGCAAGTGGTTAGAACGAGGACCACCGCATATACCGTACCAACAACACCATGGAGTCTTCAACGTGATTTACCCAGGGGTAAAAGCATGTGGTGAGGACGATGGAACAGACACTGTCCCGACGAATTCTAGAAAGGGGCAAGACTCACCGTCTGTGGCATAGAAAAAGTCCTTGTTTTCCAGCTGGCTTTCAAATGCCTGGCCGGCCCTCTTGCCCTTCGATTTCGCCTCTCGCGGCGGCCGCTGCACCGTGCCGACCGGCACCGCGAGGAAGCCCTCTCCGCTGACAAACTCAGAGAAGCCGGCGATCATAGGCGATATGTCTGCGGGCGAGGGAGACGACGAGGACGCATGCGCAAAATGGCTCGGCGACTGGCTCGCCAGCAACGCAAGCAACGCGGCCGCGGCGCCCAACGGGGACGGCATCGCGGAGGCGGGCCGGTTTCCCCTCTCCTTTGGAGTCCTTCTCTTTGCCTCTCTCTATATCGTGACACGGAGCGGCGCAAAAACAGTCGTCGTCGTCGACGGACAAGTCGGGAGGAAGGAGACGGCCGGCGTCGATTCGTTCGGATGGAGGGCGAGCTCAGGAGAGGACGAGAAGAAGCAAGACAAGCTCGAAGAAACTACCGTATGTACAATTCAACAGACATGAAAGGAAGACAATTCAACAACGGCTAGGAAGATGACGGGGGACTCAAGCAACGACCATGTATGTACGTGGATCTGCTCACGAGATCGGACCCGTGCGCCACGGCGGGAGGGCGAAGAGATGAGGTGGTTTCCCTCATTTTTTCTTATACCTCGCTACACTGAGAGAAGGGCCTCCAATGGAATAATTAAAATCACAGAAAAAGGAAAACCCGGCACCGGCCAGCCGCTGGGCACTGCTTTGGGTGGGGGACTGACTGGGTGCAGATGCAAGCCCGCGCGCCCTGCCCTGCCCCGGACCGAGGGCTGGGGGCGGGGGACACGGCAAGGACGAGGCGAGGGCCAATCGAGGTGGCGGCTTCGGCCGGGACACGGGTCTCTCCTTGGCGGTCTCTCCTTGGCGGCTCGTCTCGCTGCCCCTTGTCATGTGTTGCCCCAGGCCCGTGGTGGTGATGATGACAGAGGCGCGAGATCTATGTATAGCATGCAGTTGGGTATCGCGCTGCAGCCTGGCTGCCTGCTTCGCACTCTACCAACCGCTCTTACAGCCTCTTCAAGCCCCCACGGGGCATGGGCAACTACTTGATGCCCGAAGACAGCAGCCCCCAGCGTCTGTCGTAAGCCGCCCAGCGCAGCAGAGCCGCAGCGTCCAGCCCAAGACAAAGCCAGGGATGACGTTTCTTGCTTTTCATCCTGCTGGTCGTCGTCTTTCCTCCTGATGATCCCTCCCTCGCCGGGCGTGGAGAAACAGCTCAGCTACTTCTAATCTTACCCCTTGCCTGTGCCAGGGACAGTGTACTTGGTGTCCGTAGGTATGCACAGCTGCTGCTCGTGCTTACACACATGCATCCTGTTGACGCACATGTGTGTGCCTTTGCACAACGTGTGTACTGTGGACCGGCACAGCCACGGCCGGCCGACCAACCAACATGATGCCCTCTCCTGCTTGCCGCCTATCCACCCGGGTTGGAGTAGCATCGCTGCCGCTTGAAGCCTCCCCCACGCCTGCACCGAGTACAGACCGGTCCGCCGGGCAGGGAAACAGAGACAAATACCCGTCCTGTCCAGGGACAACAAGGTGCCACAGCTCTGGCCATCCCTTCGGAGAACATGTAGTTACAAGTGAGCAGAGCGCGCCCCCTTTTTGACTCTGGCCGTGCACTGCCTGCTCGGCCGGTACGACCCCAGTTTTCGATCCGCATGCCAAGCTCTCGTAGCGCCCGGGCTTCGTTGGCTGGGTGAGCGTCGTTCGTTTGCTGACGCGGGGTGACGCAGGTTTTCGTGGACGAACCCAAGATCGTCGTCTTCTCCTAAGCGTGTCTTTACAGTGATTACATCTGGACAAGTGGAAATGGATGCCGAGACCTCGTACGCGTAATCCCCTCTAGACTAGTCATCGTCCCGTCTGCGCGAACCCCCTGGAGCTGGGCGCATCTCGCATCGCCGTCATCAAGAGTCGGCGCTTTTTGCCGGACGTGACGAAGCTCGATGCTGCGCCTCCACCCGCGAAGCCGACAAGATGCAGTGCTGCAAGGACCAATCATGTCCGAGTCCCTGTTTGTACTTGGTGCAGCAGCGCGTTATTGGGCATGCGCCGGTAGAAACACAGGGAGAAACAGGCGTCGTGATGCTGAACATCTTGACTCACCCAGAATACCCTAAAATACCAGGATTACCGGTTTGGTGACCAGGCCTCATCATTCGTCAATCGCCGGATCTTGATTTGCCGACAGCTCGCTGTCTTTTGCCCAACTGCTGCTTCGAATATACCATGCGCTGGTGGGAGTCGGCACAGTTATTTTATTTTAATACACCCAAGGCCACGAGAAATAACAAGGAAATACTCCGTATGTTAGTAAAGGGAAACCAACAATAATAGAAGCAGAGAGTGTAATAGCATGTCCTCTAACTAAGACTGCTCACTCCCCCCCACAACCTCAAACTCAAACTTGACCTTCTCCCACCCGGGCCGCCGCTTAATCACAAGACTCATGCCCTCGCCCAGCCTGTCGGGCTTGGACGCGCCGCCCATGATGGTCGTCGTGGCCATGTCCGGCAGGCGGACGGGGCTCCCGCGCCCATCGGCCGAGAGGTCAAAGGCGAGGATGAGCGCCGCCGAGGCGCCGAGGATCTCGGCAAAGGCAAAGTTGCGCCCGGGGCAGAGGTGCTTGCCGCCGCCAAAGGGGATATAGGCCGACCGTTTTCTCTTCTCCGCCGCCGCCGACAGCCGCGCCTGGTTGCCCACGAACCGGTCCGCCTCGTACGCCGCCGCGCCCGAGCCCCATACGTCCTCGTCCCGGTGCGTGAAGCCCGCGGGGATCTGCACGTCGGAGCCCTTCTTGAGCGTGTACGACTGGCCGCGCCCGTCCGAGATGACCGTCTCCTCCATGACGCGCCGCACGCACAGCGCGTGGTTGGATAGCCGGATCGACTCGCGGTAGCAGCTGACGAGCAGCGGGCACGCCTCGTCGAAGCGCGTGATGTTGATGCTTACCACGTCTTGCTCGTCGCCGTTGCGCCGCTGCATGAGCGGCTCCAGCTCGGCCCGCAGCCGCTCCACGATGTCGAGCCGCGTGAAGACGTTGGCCACCATCCAAAACGTCGTCGGGATCGTGTTGCCCGTCGCCAGCTGCAGCAGACTGGCCTCGAATCGCCCAATTTCGCTGTCCGGCAGGCCGTGCTTGCGCAACACCGCCGAGCGCGCGCTCGTCACCGCCGCCACCGTCTCGTCGTGGTCTCCCCGCGAGGAATAGTACTCGCCTAGTGCCTTTTGCAGCTTCTCGCGAGACCGGAAGGCGTCGGCGTTGGTGACCTGGTGCCACGGAGTGATGAGCATCTTGGGCAGCGCATTCTCCCACGTCCTAGCAGACGTTAGCTGAGCCCGGACACTCTGTATTCCAGGGTGGAATAGAGAGGAGTTCAGCAGAGCAAGGAGTACTTACCACAGGTGGTCAATCAGCTCCCGGTCGTGCAGCAGGGGATTCTTCTTGCCCAGCAGCGCCGTTGTCGTCGCCAGCGTCATAATCTCCCGTAGCCAGAGGAAGAAATTGTCCACCCGGACCTCCCCGTCGCCCTTCATCGCGTCCAGCCGAGACGAGATGAAGTTGAGGGCGTTGGCATTCATCCGATGCAACGGCTCGCCGCGGACGGTGACGTGGAGGGCGTCAAAGAACTCGACAACAATCTCAGGCTTCTCGCGGAAGCGGTTGTACGACTCCTCCTTCATCCCCAGCATCGTCTGCAGGAAGTCGACGGCAAAGGGCTCGAAGCTGAGTGTCTTCTGCCGCAGCGCCGACTGCACCAGCGCCGGGTCCCAGATGGCGTACGTCTTTCCACCCAGCATGGGGAGTGTGGCGATGGGGGCGCCCGTTTTCTTGCTACAGTTTCATGTCAGCCACGCTCTTACAGTCTCTCGGACAGCCGTCTGCCGCCATATTGTACTTACTGAAGATTGGTATAGTATTGAGACTGGTTCCGGACGAGGCCAATCAGGTGGCCTATGAAGGGTATTCGCGGCAGCATGAGCGGCGGCTCCTTGCCGTCCACTTCGGGGATAGACATTTTGTAGAGATAGAAGAGAAATGTGAGAAAGAGGGTAGAGAGGGTATAGCGAATCGGTGCATGCTGGAACCCGGCCACGGCAGCCGACAGGAGGCCGCCCTCGGCGCTGGTGGCATTGGCCGTGCCAGACATGGCGTCGTCTACCGAAGCCAGTGGAGAGCCAAAGGTCTGCCCGGTGGCGGCCATGGCTTCTTACTTTGTTCTCCGAAGTCAGAGCGTAGTTCCAAGAACACGGAAACTGAAGCTTGTCAGACCGAGCGAGCAGACGAAGCCTCAACGAGTACACGGCGTCCAGGGAGGAGGGGGAGTCGCTGTTGGACGGGTCACACAGACTGGGCGGCTGTCTTGGTTCGACTGCTACTGCCAAGGGACACGCCTCGTCTTCTCTTGCCTCTTTTCGAGCTTTCACTGTCAAGATATATATCTCCCATGGCTGATGGCGGTGAAGCAGGAGCCACGGCGAAACCTGGCCTCCGAGCGGACACGGATGGCCTCCGATGGGGGCTGACCTATTCTCGAACCACAACTGCAGAGTGACGCTTTTCTTTCGTCTTTTGTTCCGTAGAGGCAGGGGTGCAGCCACGTGGGGTCCAGGGGCCGCGGCACTGTCAGCACCGGTTCATCATGCAAGCTGGAATGTCGTCTGCTCGGTGCCGACGAGACGAAGCGGTAGACCGGGCTTCGTGTCAGGACGTCAGCTCCGTTACATGAAAGAATATCTACCTGAACTGGATCTTGACGCGTACACTCGGTTGAGCAGCAAAAGCCTTAAACTTGGTACGGACATCGCTTCCAGCAGAGTCGAAGAGACTCGCTATTTCACCCGGGCTCGTAGCTTCACCTGTCTTGACGCGCCGATCCACCAAGAAGCCCATCTTCCGGTTTCAAATGGAAACGGCACGCAGCCTCGACTCGCTCGGTGTCCCCATTGGTCCAAGCTGATGCGCAGCTATGCCTGCAAGCCAGATTGCGGGGGAGCTCCGGCTGCAGCCGGATGTGGCGCCTGACACCTCCGTAAGCGCCCCCGGTCAGCGCCAATGTCGACGGATCGGCCCATCCTTCCATTTGGATGTGGCACGATAGAAGAACAAAGATGACGGCCAGCTCGGGTCCACGCAACAGACGGTTGAGAGTCCCGCAGCGCACGGCCGCACCGCAGGTACCACGACCGGAGGTTGCCCAGTCCTTCTCGGAGCCGTGCTCCGACTTGTACGCCGTCTCTGGATTTGCAACGCATAAGTCACATCTTTGCTCTTTCGAGAAGCGAGCCGCAGCCTGATCGGCAGCTCAAGTGCGCATGCGCGGGGCGGGTAAGCCGCCAGGACTCATGGTCTCGACGAACGACAGTGTTGGCAACATGAACGGCGGTAAAATGCAAGATCCTCTTGAGATTTGAGTATTCTGCATGTGGGAATCGCGGCGGTGTCTAGTTGTCCAGTCAGCGACTCATCTGACGGAGCTACGAGGCGGCATGCTCCCGTCTCGACCTCGAGGCAGGAGACCCAAACTCCCGTCGGCGTCGGCGTTTCATAAGACATTAGCAGTAACGGTATTGGTTTGCCGAGGTTATAATTCTTTACTCCGCACCACGAAAGTAATTTCGATCGGGCGGATATCCACTGGGCGGGATGCGGCAGAACCGTTGCACCGTTGGTCCGTTGCATCAATCGCGGCCAGTGGAGGAGCGCAAGCCGGCAACCCATTTGATATGACGAGCCTTGGGAAGGGTGGTTCAAAGTCGCAAGCCACAATGTCGTCTGGAAAGAGCATCACGTTAGACGCTGTGGCTGCCACGGTCCGCCGCTGGCTGCTCAACCCCAAGATCGCGGTTCCGCTGGCGCTCAGCCTGCATTGGCGGCCCGTCTTTGCGCTGCTGCTCTCCCGCATTGCGAAGCGGCAAGCGGCCAAGCTGCGGTCGCGGGTAAGGCTCATCGCCACGGCGAGCGTCATCGTTGTCGCCAACGAGTATCTCACCAAGCAGTTCGCCAACAACTGGGTCAGAGACACGAGGTGGAACTGGGACGACGAGATTGTGGTGGTGACGGGGGGCAGCAGCGGGCTCGGCGCGAGCATCACGCAGCGGCTCATTGCGCGGAATTGCCGCACGCGCATCGTCGTCATCGACTTTCAGCCGCTCCAGTGGACGCTTCCCGCCGACGCCCGCGTCCACCTGTATCAGTGCGACCTCAGCGACTCGTCGGCTCTCAGGGCAACATGTCTGAGAGTTAGACAAGAAGTCGGGCACCCCAGTGTTTTGTTCAACAACGCCGGGCTAGCCCGGGGATTCACGGTGCTGGAGGGCGAGCCTGCCGATGTTGAGATTACGATGCGGACCAATCTGATTGCACCCTTTCTGCTGGCCAAGGAGTTTCTACCCGAGATGGTGCGGCGCGACCACGGGCACATTGTCAACATTGGCTCGTTGAGCGCACTGGTGTCGGCGGCGAACCTCGTCGACTACTCAGCGACCAAAGCGGGTCTTGCGACTTTGCACGAGGTGCGTCTTGATAGAATGCCCCGCCGCTGCCGAGCCATGACAAGGTCGAGGCTGACGAATAGGGGTCGTAGGGACTTCAGCTGGAGCTCAAGGCGTGCCAAAGGGCACCAAGAGTGCGTCTGACGCTGGGCGTCTTCGGCTTCATCCAGACGCCCATTTTCAGCGGCTCTTGCGACGGATGGAAACGGGCGATGCCGCTTCTCGACGCCGACGACGTGGGCGAGAGGCTGGTGGAGGCCGTGTACAGCGGATACGGCAGCACGATATACCTGCCCCTGCTCGTGAAGTGGTTTGCGGTGCTGGTAAGAGGCCCGGTGTTCAGTGTGCGCGCCGGAGCTGACGTCGTCTACCTAGCGAGGCGGGCCGGAGTGGCTGTTCCGACTGGTGCGGGAGCGATCGCTGGGGCTGAATCTCGACTTCAAAGGACGGCAACAGCTCGACGACAAGACGGGGGGCATTCGCGAGATTGGAGTTGGGAATCTGGACGCCGGTGCTCTGGGAGACATTGTCGTGGTGGCGCCGAGCGTGGAAGCGTGAGATTGACGAGATGCTTGTGGGATGACGTTTGGTGACGACGGGCCGGCCCATGCAGCAATCGGGGCTGTAGTCAGCGCGCCTTCTCCATTGAAGCCTGAGGAGCTGTTGGTCCGTTCCGCTTGTAATTGAACGAGCCTCACTAGTCGACTAGTCTCACTGCATTGCATTTGCTGCCAGACGCATCGTCGACTTCATGCCTTTGTCTGTTCTTTACCTCGACGGTTCCTCGACCAAGCGCGACGTGGGCCAGACGGCTCCTCACCGAGCCCGGGCTATTCGATGCTGACTCAACCGGGGTACCTTTGCTTCAGCACCGGTGATAGGCGCTGCGTCGATTGCCTCGGATATCGCTGACGGATTGGCGATTCGGCATCAAGTTCCGAGGACCTGGATGCCAGGAGATCTCTGAAGCCAACGGGCCTTTACTCTTCGGCAATTGGCTGGCATGAAGGGCCACGACGACGGCGGGACCCACATGATCCCTCGGCCTCCTCTCGCGTGGTATCATTGGTGTCGCAACCGGTCCAATTTAGCGGCCGTTGCCGTGTCCTGAACTTGTCCGTTCCCGGGTTCTTTCTACCCTGCCGTTCGTGAGCCGAGGCATTAACTCCAGGCGCTGCTCATACATACATGCATATACTGTACAAACATCCGCCTCATAAATCGCCTTTTCTGATGCTCTCCAAACGTTCCCTGTACGCCTATCCATGATCCTTGCAGCGCCAACCCAATCATCACCAACCATGGCCCCCCTCGCCGAGAAGCACAACATCAGCTACAGCCAGTTTGCCTGCATCGGCTCCGGCTTCTCTGCCATTGGACTCGGCGCGACGCTCAAGAGATGGTACGGCATCACCGACGTTCGCTTCTTTGAGCGCCACAGCGACCTGGGCGGAACGTGGTTCGTCAACACATACCCGGGTAGGACCAAAAAACCCCCTTCTCCTCCCTCCCTCGACCTTGTATCCTGACATGGAAGCCATGCAGGATGCGCTTGCGACGTGCCCAGCATATTATACAGCTTCTCCTTTGCGCCCAACCCGAATTGGACCCGCGTGCTCCCCTCGGCCCGCGAGCTCTGGGCCTACCTCAAAAAGGTGGCTGACGACCATGACCTGCCGGCCAAGATGACTTTCGGCGCCGACGTGATTCGCTGCGAGTGGCTGCAGCACTCGCGCCGCTGGCGTCTGCACATTCGAAGCACCGACGACGGCACCGTCTCGCTGCACGAGTGCCAGTTCCTCTTCACCGGCGCCGGCGCCCTCTCCAAGCCGCGCGAGCCCGATATGCCGGGCATCGACTCGTTCCGCGGCCCCGTCTTTCATGCGGCGCGGTGGAGGCATGACGTCGACCTCCGGGGCAAGCGCGTGGCCGTCGTCGGCAACGGATGCACCGCGACGCAGGTTGTGCCCAGCATCCTCGACAAGACCGAGCACCTGACGCAGTATATCCGCTCCAAGCACTGGATCATCCCGCCCGTCGACGTCCCCCATACCAAGACGATCCAGTGGCTCTTTGGCCATGTCCCGGGCTTCATGGCCTTTGTGCGCTTCATCGTCTTTTGCATTGCCGAGGACGAACTGCGAAGCTTCTACATGACGAACGCCGGCGCTCGGTTCCGCGTCCGCCGCGAGGCCCAGATCGCCAGCTACATGCGCAAGACGGCGCCCCAAAAGTACCACAAGCTTCTCGTCCCGGAATTCGAGATTGGCTGCAAGCGCCGCATCTTCGACCCGGGCTACTTGGCGGCCCTGCATGAGCCCAACATCACCCTCACCGACGACCCCATCGTCGAGGTGCTGCCGGACGCCGTCCGCACCAAGAGCGGCATCATGACCGAGACGGACGTCATCGTACTGGCCAACGGCTATGCCACCAATCAGTTCTTGCCGGGCATCCAAGTCGTTGGCCGCGACGGCGTCACTTTGGACCAGCACTGGTCCTCCTTTGACGGGCCCGAGGCATACAACTGCTGCGCCCTCAACGAATTTCCAAACTTTTTCATGATCTTGGGTGAGCCACGGGGCTGCGTTCTGGATGACTGTATGCTCGAGCAGCACTGATGCCACAACTGACAGGACCCAACACGGCCACGGGTCACACATCCACCATCATGGCTATTGAAAACGCCATCAACTACTCCCTCCGCGTCATCAAGCCCGTCATCGACGGCGACGCCACCGTCGTCGAGATCAAGCGCGAGGCCGAGGAGCGCTACTCGCAGCAGCTGCAGCAGAACCTGCAAAAGACTGTATGGTGGGGAGGCTGCCGCAGCTGGTACACCAAGGAGGGACCCGACGGCAAGAAGTGGAACGCCATGACATATCCTCACTCGCAGGGCCACTACTGGTACAAGTGCCTCTTCCCCGTCTACCGAGATTGGTCTTACACGGTATGTGCCCTCGTCTCCCACTCCTTGCCCTGTGACGATGCACTAACTGACTTTGGAAACCTAAGATGACGCCCAACGTCACGCGTCGGCAGTTATTGCGCAGGACACTCAAGATCTTGTGGATAGGCCTCTTCGTCTCTTTCATCAGCGTCTCGCTCGCCGCCAAGAATCCTCCGTTCGATGTCCGCTGGCCCATCTACTACGTGACACGCTCCTGGCAGGCCTTGAGACAGCGACTCTCTTTGTAACACTTGGACGGCGGCGCCAATCTTTTGGAAACACCTGAGCTGGGTTTACGTACGTACATGTCGGGGGTCATAAACTGGGATCGAAGCGTTGAGCGTGTTACTGTAGGGAATCTCCCCTCGCACATGGGATGCACGTTGTCTTCGTGCTTTCCCATTCATGACGTGCGGGTATCGACCGCTCGATCCGTCTTGATGATCCAATCCGCATGGATAGGCAAGTCTCATCTAGGCTGCCTGGCCAGTCCCCGAGACCAACAGCACCACACTCCCAAGCTGCCTCCGTAGATCCTCCTTTTGCACGTCATGGGTGTCCTCGACCTCTCCCCATTGCGTAATCTGCCAATCGACTTCGAGGCTTGCGGCTCTAGCAGCCTCTTGGATGCCAAATCGGTTCTTGCGGCTGACGTTGCGCTTTCCCGAAGGGCCCTCGCTCCACTCGGCGACGAGCCTTGCAGCCGCGATGAGGCTCTTGCCCGCCAGCACGGCCCTCTCCAACCCGACAATTTCCCACGCATCGAGGCCCTCGACCCATCCTTGCACAATCTCGCGCACTCCCTCGGGCTGCTGCCGCGGCACAATAGCATGCCCGTCTAGTACCGGCTCGATCTTGACGCCAGCCCAGACGTGGGTCGTCAGGAACGACACCGTCTCCGCCGCCGCTCTTTTCTGTACGTCCCGTAGACATTCCCCGGCGTCGTTGCGCAGATCGTGTGGGCCGGCAGGAGGCGCCCAGCATAGCAGTGAGTCCGTATCCAAGTATCTCAGAACCGAGGCGGTTACGTCTCTGCGGATTTTTGCAGCGCCCGATGCGTCGTCGTCTGCGATGTCGAGAGCGCGGCAGACGAGACTCGTCAGGGGTATGAGGTGCTGCTTCGTGGATTGACGTGCTGATGTTAGGGTGTCCCATTCGAGGGCGAGGGCGGTGGCGAGGTTCGGTTTGGAGGTTGGGAGTCGAACGATTTCCTTTGTTTGGGGGTGTCGTAGTGGTCTGGTGTCAAGATGGACCTCCAACGCACCTTGTAGACTGTCGGCATCAACATGAACTGCAGCTCCTCTCTCCCCAATGTCGCATCAGTAAGGGTAAAGGGAGGCTCACCATTGACTTCCTTGACACTGACGTCTTTCCAAAACCTCCCACTCAACGTCGTCGACTTGCCATCCTTTGCATTCCGAATCACCTTTGTCGCCTTGAGCAGCTCAGCCTGCCGTTTGCGGCGCTCAATCCTATCGTTGAAGGGCCTGGTGGCAGGAGTCGGCGGCTCAGGCGGTGGTCCAGTCCCGACAACGGGGACGACATTGGCCGCCTGTGCAGCGCTGGAGTGGATCAGGCGTGCATGCGTGGATCCTTTGAGGGCCTGCGGCAGCAGACGAAGGCTCAATCGCGTCGGGACCTTCATGTTGACGGAGTAGACGCGCTGGTGCTGGGGGGAAAATTCGCCGTGAGCCATCATGTAGCTTACCAGGTGTGGATGTGGGGCCTCGGTGGGCCATGTGCTACTAAAGGCTCACCGAAACCAGAACGGACCTTCACCGAGGTCAGACAACATCTGGGGTTGCCATTTCCTCAGCCAAAAAGTATGTTTATTTTCGGTTTCCACGGATGATAGTCGTTCCTTTCAGGCCCGTTCGACGTCCTGGGGATTGAAGCACATCCTCACAGCGCGCTCGAGTCGCAAACAACATGAGTCTGAGTTGACGTTGAAGTGGACCGATGGATTGCAGCACTTAAGCGCCCCAAGCTCCTCGTCATCTGCTACATGCTCGAAAAAATGTAGTTGAGGCAACCGTCTCTCACCGTGGTGACACCAAAGACTTGACTGCCAAGACGAATTAACAAGAGCTCGAGCTCACCTTGCGCGATATCCTCAAACATCACAAAACCACTTGTTTGGTGGTGCCTCTATTGGCCTATGTATGCTTTAGGATGTAATCTCCAACCGTGGTTCCATGCGTGCTGATTTCGCTCTTGGTAAGCTAACATGCTCCAGAAGCCCCGGCGCAGAAACCAACGGCATCCTGACATCAGTTCAAGGGTCGCGACTTTCAGGCGTGACTTTGGAAACTTGCTCAACGGCAAAGTCATACTGCCTTCAATGCCATAATCGCCGACGGCCAATTCTTCGGTGGCTTCATTTGCAGTTGACTAGCCGACCGAGTCGGCTGCAGACATGCCTTGGTATCGGGCATCGTCGTCTTCCTCCTCGCCTTCTTGCCCTACACCCATGAGTCTCATTGGAACCTTGCCCAGAAGGGAGAGAAAGAAAAGGCACTCGAACCCGTCCGATAAGTGTTTGGTCGCGACTACATCGTCGAGATGATGCTCTTCGCTCTAGAGGCCACGATCAGCGAAGAAGCCCTGGATAAAAAGCTGAACAAAGCTTCCTGGAGTGATTACAAGGTAGCGACTGGCTTTGGACTGGTGTTTCTACTGGTTTCTTTCCTTGCCAACACCCCGTGGGCATTATCTTTCCCCTCAGTTATTCGACTTATTGGCAGCAGACGCAGTAGTAAAAAGATCCTAGTACCTATTTTCTTACTCAATTTACTAGTGCATCTATGTCTCTATACCCTGATATCACCTATAGGGCTTATAATTTCAAGGGTCTTTGTAATCCTAGTAGGCTGTATGCTTATGGCATCGCTATGCCGCTTTTGTAGGGAAAGCCGTGCCGCTAAGTGTGCGATGTGTGCGATGAAGAGTCTACGTAGGCGTGGGGAATGTAATTAATTAGGCATACAAATTTGCGGTATCGGCGCTGCGCCTTATTATCTAGCCACACTACCCACTTATTTGTTTGCTGGCTAGCCAAACCTGTTTGTTGGTTAATACCGGAGCCGCTCGTTTGTCTCCTGCAAACCTTCGTTTTCCCATCCCTCGACACAACCACATCAAGATGGAACCATCGCAAGCTCGAATCCACGCGTCAATACAGAGGCCCTTTCCATCTACGAGTCGGCTCGCCGCCAACCGCGGAAGCGCATTCTTGTCGAGCCTCTGCTATGGACGAGACTGCATCTCGAAATCCTGTCCTGCACATTCGGCCAATGCAGTCCTGCGCCCCCGGCCATGATGCACCTTCCGTCGACTGAGGATGCCCGTCAAGATGCCCGTCAACGGCGGGATTTTGAGCGCTTCTTCTTTAGCTATCGAAGCTTACGGGTAGCAAAGGAAGGATTAATACGCGGGTCTCTTTGCCTCGAACCTTCACCATTATCTTGGCGGTGAGTCGATGCCCCTAGACAAGTGGCACTATCTAACCGTAATACCCGTAGTTGCGATCTCTACTTGCATCTTGGTGGTAATCGCAGTATTCTTCTTCCATGCACCTACTACTGTCTCGGCGATTATATCCCCGTAGCTGCACATATAGACCGTAGCCGCATGCTCGCTCCCCGCGAGAACAAGGTCGGGCCGCCGATACGTCGATACAACCTCCCTGCCATTAACGTGAGCAAGCTTAAACTCAAGAGCGTCACTCCCGCCGAGCCGTTGCACGATCCGTACCTGGTGGCGCTCTTGATTGCTCTCGGCCAGCTACAATGGAGGGCGTTGGGACAGCAAACATCTCAGCAGGCGGCTGGCGTGACGGTATGCACGCCCTCATCTATATTAGTTAACCTACTAATACGATTACAGTCTAAGCTTATATTTAGCACCGAAGATCGCAATTATATTTATATCTATTCGGCAAATATATCCTCGTCCCTCATCAACATATTCCACTACCCAGCCATAAAGCCGTCAGCGCCCGATCCCCTTGCCGTCCAAATATCCTCTATTCCCTATAAGCCTGTCGAAACGCTTCGTGGTCGTCTCTTGGCGCTCCTCCTCTCGCCGACAAGCATTCAGGACGTGGACAAGTCCGAGAGGTTGATTGTATATACCTAGATGCAAGCGCCATCCCCTCTGAAAGCATGCAGTTGCTGCATGCTACAAGCTGCAAGTCGTTACCCACCCACCTTTATCACGCTCATTTCGCCAATCCTCTTGACGGCTGGCCCAGCACATGGCGCTTGATGAAACGTGGCCCCCAAATTGGAAGCGGCAAACATGCTTGAGCACTCGTCACGCGCCCCCGCCATCACTCTTAAATTTCTTCGAGGATGCCCGGTTGGGGATACTCTTTCCTACTCCTACGCACTACTCCTTCTAGCAGGGCAGTCAGTAGTACGTATAGGTGAGAAGAGGCAAGGGAAGAAGATGATGATTACGTGCCCAAGCTGTGGGCGCAGGCACTCAGCCTGACTAAGCTATACTAGCCCAATCAGGGGCTAGCTAGGCTCAGCTCAATAGTAGGCTGACACTCGTCACATTATTCTTTTGCTCTTCGCTATATGCAACAATCATGTCTTACTACGACATAGTCAGAGACCCGTCCACCTTTGCGCAAAGAGCCAAGGGCAACGACAGCCTCTCTGTCCTTATTCAGTCGAAGCACTGGAAGAGCGCCGCCAGTCAATGGGGCCGTGAACACCTATTTGCGCACCGCGTCCTCTGCAAGGAGCCTAAAAAGGGTCTGCCTCTCTTTGAGTCCCGCAGGCTCTTGCCTCGCGACCCAAGAAACACCAACGCCTGCATCAACGCTCTAGTTTAAGGTCCGGAAAGCATCGACGCCCTCAAATACCAAGTAGAGCCTCAGCTCGTGCAACACTATCAGCCGGACAGCCTCGGCTACGTCTAGGCAGCTTTGGCTCCGTTTGTGCGAGCTGGCGCCAGCTCTATCCAGCATGCCCCCTCCGAAACAGCAGTCTAGGAAGCACCTAAAAGGGCGTTAAATAGACCTACGGAACTCCGAGACTTCGTTCCGTCCGACTAGGTCACCTTCGGGAGCTCCCCCGATTATAAGCAAAGGCCCGTAACGTCGGACTCGAATGAGACTTATTCGAGCGTGGGCTACGTCGAGGGGCTTATAGCACCACTCGTCGAGGATGCTACTATCCGTCTCGCTAGCTGCTTTATCCGCTGCGTGCTAAATTACGGCCAGCACCGGGATCAGACGAGTCTATTTCTCTACTTCCGTAACGAGCGTTAGACGTATTCTTTCACGCAGGGCCAACTATATAATCCACGTAGTCGATGATAGAGGCATCTAGTTTATTAGATCGAACGGCGATCACCGACATATAGCGATGCTAGAAGGCAAACGGACGTTCGCGAAAGTTATCGACGGGATTCCAATTATCTCCGACTAGCTACTAGCCTAAATAGTGGGAGGGGCGTTGGCCGTACAATACGCAGACGTTCTCGCAGTCTCTGATACTGAGTACGCTCTTCCCTCTAATCGTGCCGGTCTAGAACTAACTATCTAGTTTTTATAGCTTTATCACGATTCTTGCGGCCAGCTACTTTATAAAAGTCTTTCACTTTTATATTTCCGACGACTTCCATCGCAGCTATGAGGAATTGCTCGCCAAAACCGGGTAGCTATTTGCACGTGACCTCTACGGTGTGGTTCGACATAAAGAACAATCGACATAGAGAGGACGTCGTTGCTCATATCTTTGCTCTGATAGCCTGGGCCAAGGAAGACATGTAATGGGGCGGCAGGGTGTGTGCGGCCTGGTGGGCTATCTTCTACTTGATGAGTGTTCGATCCATTAGGGGGTGATTTTAGCTATGCCTTGACTCGGCTGACCCCCTATTTTTTGGCCTCGCATCCTTCCATTTAACACTGGTGTGCATGTATGTATTTTGGTACGTGGATGTCAAGGAGGCCGCCCATCGGTTTGACGGGACCGTCAAGTTTGATGCCCACCAAGTGGCAACGTGGAGCATGCGGGAGGGAATTGAGCTTGTCGCGGTTCCCGGCTATGACGACCTTATATCTATGCGGCAAGGATGCTAACCAGTCCAACTGGGCTTAGAGCTCCTCAAAGGAGCCCTGGTTGGTGAGATCGCCGGCGTGAAGGATAAGGTCCCCATCGGGAACCGAAGGCTGCGTCTTGTTCGTGTCGGAGATACAGACGACGGTGATAGGATTAGGGGCCTCGATAGGAGCAAGAGGGGGCCTGCAGCGGTGGGTGGTCTCACTAGCCGCCCGTCCGTCTCTGCGTGCCATTTACATATTCACGGAGCCATGCTTGAGTACTACCGCACCTCAACTGGGCTAACCAATCAGTATACCTTCTAAGCGTCCGAGTAGCCGCGTGTAACTCTGCAAGTGTCATGCGTGGTTGTCAAAAGAAATTGATCAAGGGCCCCCTTTGATGCCGAAGAGTCCCGACGACGTGCTCCCAGTGCTTCACGTCTTCTTGCGTCTTCCGGTTCTACGCAGGTCTTCAAAAGCGGTTGGCGATTCCTAATTGTTGAGCCATTCCCAGGCCTCTGAAAACCTGTCAGAAGCTTGGCAAGGATGAGTTCCTTGAAAAGAATTGTTGCTTATTTTTGGCAAATGGGCTTCGTCCGCATGGCCCTGTTTGGCCCCTTGCCTTTATCCTTGCCCGACACGGTTTGTAGTAATGCGAAGTCGGTCCTGTTGTCGTACCCGGGGAAGCTGGTAGGCCGCAAAATCACACGGTACGACCGCAGGGCGGTCTGAGGGCTGGCTTCTGTTGGTAATCCATGTAGGTGCGATGCCCGTATACTTGGGCTGCGATTCAAGCACAGGTGCATGTAGTCAGCGAACTACAGTATGTATTGGAAGCCGAAGAAGCGAAAGCTTTCCAGTTAATTCCTCCCTGTCTGTAGTAACCGCTACCGTTCGTCATGCCGATTCGATTTGGGTTAAACCCAGCTGTCATCACACAACAACATTGGGGTTCAGCACAGAGGGAATGTAGATTGATGACAACATTAAAGCTTCTGGGCTTGACTCACCTTGCCGCTTTGTAAGACAATTGGCCTTATACGGGTCAGAGATACGGAGTAGCATTAGGCAATAATAATCATCGAAGAGTCATGGGAAAGAATTGAAGGTAAATATTCGAGCTATCGAGCAGGGCACTTTCTCCCGTGGGCTCTCGACAAGCGGCTTAAGCTGGTGGGCATATAGGAGCAGCACTATGTCCTAACATATTCGACGTCATGGCTAGGAGGCTGTCCAAGAAGGGCCTGGGGTGGACGGAGCAGGAGATTCCCGTCTTTGAGGCTATATTTAGGGGGGACGCCAAAACCCAGACATAGATGCTTATTTTCCTACGAAGCGCTCCCTGTTATAAGCTAGAGACCGTCACGTGCCCCCTCCCTTGGCTCTCTAAAGCGAGCACATGAAAGGCTAGAGGATTTTGCAGCCGAGATCATGATCCATAGCATGAGGCGGATTATACGGTTGACGATTGAAGGCGTGAGAATAGCTAATTATATCGTGTATGGACGTAGCCAACTATAGATACAGCAGAACCTATTCGCATGCTTTACTTAACTAAACTTCCTCTGGTTAGGTCGTGCATGTCAGCTCTCGAGATTTTCGATGCGTGGTCGTATCACATTATTAATAATCTGAAGCAAGGAATCGGGCGGTTGATCTCAAACACATCATGATGCTCTTCTTCCCGATCATGTTCCAGTCATCGACACAGCAATCTCCACGGTGATACTTGGAACGAAGCACCCTGTTCACTACCAGTCCATTCTCCACTCTTGAGTTCTGCATCATTCATTCATCAGTCATCACAAAGCAATCTCCAGGTTGATACTGGGAACGAAGCACCCTGCTCACTACAAGTCCACTCTCCACTCCCGAGTTATGCATCATCAGACCCGGCGGCTTCGTGCCACACGGGATCCGAGAAATGCGTGTCTCGGAGACTCTGCATGCGGGCGGCCCCGGCGCACAAGCGAGCATAGGGACTGAGCCCGCTGAGCTCCACGGCTCCCGAGGTGACGCCAAAAAAGACCCTTCGCACGGCTGCGCCCCTAGCAGACGGTAGGAGATATGTCTGCCTGATCGCTCGATCTACGTCGATGAACAGCCGCTCGTCGGCTCCGTCGGCCGAGTCCGGCAGGTCGTGGTTGAGGCCGACGATGGTATGTCGCCAAATGCGGTCGAAGAGGCAGCTCAGCGTTCGCGTGACGGGCCCGCCGGCCGAGACGGACTCCAGCAAAGTTTCGAGTAAGTGACACCATTTCGCAGACGAGGCGCCGAGGCCCTCCTGACCGGCAGCTCGGTCACAGTCGGCCAGGGCTGACCTGGCCGCGGCCTCGAAGCCATGCATGGCGTCTAATCCTGGGCCGGCAACCAGGCTTCTCCTGACGATTCTGCTCGCGAGCCCAGAGATTACGGCTGGTTGATGGGCGTCGGGGCTCCAGGCGTCGGTCCCCCCCCAAAGGGGCTGCCACGACTCTGTGTGCAAAGTCTCCCCCCCCTGAAGAGAGACGTCTGCAACAGCTCTCAGCCGCGTGCCAGGGGCCGGCCATGCATAGGCTTCTCGCACCACGTCCTCCACTGCGTTTTCGTAGCTGAACAGCTGCTTTCGGGCTATATATCGTGGCACTAGCAAGTACCATACACAGCCGCCCATGGCCAGCTCGGCAGCCTCTTCGTGGCCGTCGACACCGCAGCCACATGCCAGAACATCGTCGGTGACCCGGGCAACAGCATGAGCATAGCCATGGGCACCACTGCTTCCGTCCACGGCCAGAGCCACGAGCAACTCATTGAAGCACTCGTGGTTGGAGTAGTCGGACACGACGTCGACCATCTCGTTGTACCGGATGAGGCTGTCGATGGCGCGCTTGATTCTTCCGCACGCATGGACAGAGCTGAAGGTGCCGAGGCTGTTTGTCAGGTGCCTGTAGCCATCGGTACTCATGATGAGACGATGATATGGCACCATGGCGGCGTCCCACCAGCGCGCTCGAAGGAACTCGCTGGGCGTCACCGGACCGCCGCTGACCCGGATGAATTCATCGACGTCGAGGATTTCCATGGCCCTCTCTGTCATTTCATCCTTGGCCACCATGAAGGAGTCTGCTATCGTCAAGTCCCTCAGGGCCTGATTCGCCGCCTTGCCCGCGAGGCATGCGACGCCCTCGCTTGCAGCCGCCATGTAGACGTCGTAGCCTCCGCCGCCGGCATCGTCCCGTGTCCCTACATAGTCAATGGCGGTTGTCATGCATAAGGCGGAGCCACACAGGTCGGCAGTGCGCCAGTCGGGGCACCGAATGAACTGCCACGAGAATATGCTTGCGTAGAAGTCGCGTAGTACCATGGGGGCGGCAGACTTTTTGGAGTCCGCATGGTGGCGACGGTATTCTCCGATCAGCTGCTGCGCTTCGCCTCCTTTCTTTGGGCCGGTCGAGGCAACCATGCTCAGCCCGCCCCCGATGCCACTGCCATGGTCGGTCCACAGGCCTGCGCGCACCGAGGCCGCGGTTAGAAGCGCCGTCGCGGCCAGCGGACTCGCCCTCACACTTGAGCTGACCTCTCGGCAGAACACCATGTCAATAACCCGGCTGCACATGGCGGCGCCCGACTGGTAGCGCGTAACTCGGCCCGATCTGTAAGGTAGGTATGCCGCCTTTGCAGTCAGGCATGTGGTGAGAAACCCGCGAGACTCACGGCGGGAGTCATAAGTGTCCTCGGTTCCCATACGAAGCTTCATCAGTCGGCCGAGGCAGGGCGTGTCTAAGAGCCCACAAGATCTCGAATCCCACACATTCATCGTGTGCCGTCCCCTCATCCGAGCGAGACGGACACGATCAGGTTCCGGTGGTGAGGCCATGGGCATCTTTTCCATGTTGGACGGCGTCCTCGTATCCGGCAACATTGCGACCTTTTCCACTACCTAGTTGAAAGATGAGGTTTCTTAGTGTTTCATGAGCAACTGAGGTTAGGGCAACAGAGGCCTCGCGACGAGCGTCGCCACAGGGACGCATGGTTTTCAATGCTTGGCCTTTTCGATGGCCCAACTCGAATGAATTGGGCACCGATGCATAGGCCTGAACTGTTCGCCTTCAGCCTTGAAGCAGACTGATCACTGCTTCTCAGCCTGGCCGATGCCCATCACGGTCTCGATCGTCAGCCATGAGCCTTGCAACAGCCCCCTATTAACACCCAAGCCACAGCTGATCAGCCAACACACCACACGTGCATACAAGGAAGATAATTCGTATGATTGAGACCCGATCTCGAAGCAGGGTATGCAGTGGGAGGGAAGAAGTGTGTGTACGTGTGCCTCCATCATGTAAGACAGTTGCGGAATAGATAAACGGGTCTGGGCCACATCGAGCGGGAACGAATGAATTCCTATTTGGCCGATTAGCCACGCTTGGGGGGGCTGTATACTTAGCTACTGCATGGTTCTTCACAGTACAGACCACTAGGATCACAAAGCCGCCGCATAGGCTGTACGACCCAGGGGCCATCTTCGCGCTGCTAAAGAGATACAGTCTGGATAGTAAGTGTCTGGAATAGAGCAACCATCTCCCTGTAATGGGCGTAAAAATACCAAAGGTTTAATCACGGAACATATACCTATTTTTAACCTCGATAATAAAATAAATTTGCTGGCGTACCTTTTACGCATCCGAGGACGGTTGCTTAGGATAGACTTACGTCTTTTTGGCTATTAACTTGATGTCGTATCAAGTCCGTCTACTTTCATGTCATGGTAGGGCAGTGGCTATCGCGGCTTCAGTTACAATCTTAGAAGGCTGTAATTGGCTCGCCGTACGGTTTATCTGCTATGTGTACCGTGTGGTTTACGAACTCGGGTTTCCACCTGATCGATGGCTGAGACAATGGAATGATTGCATTGCCGTCGGCAGGGCAGCGTCCGCCGGTCCCGACAACTTGGTACCCTACCATCCATCAAGATGCAATACAACACACACCCGTCCAATGAGTTTGCGCCATGATGGGGATCCCCTGCGACCCAGCCCAAAGGGCCGGGACCATGATTGAGATGGTCTGCATCTCGGCCTCCTCCCTTGTCCACCTGAAGGACTGCAAAAACCGGTTCTGCAGGGACGGCCAGATGGGACAACAGCACCACGAGCTGCACAACCCGACACTAAGAGAACCGCTACCCGTGCCGCTCCCACTATCAATGACACCCTTGAGTTCTATGAAGGCGCGCGCATTAGGGCGGTGGCCATGGGGGTGAAGGGGTGAAGGGCTGTGGACATGGGCACAAAGCCTGCATAATGGTTGGCACAAAGGTTCCATGACAAATATCAGTTGGTAATATTGGTAATGATAATATCTATTTTTACTTTGCACGGAGCGCGCAGAAGGTATCTTTCTAGTATAACTACGAAGCACTCCGCATACAAGCTTGAAGCATAACGTAATAAAGCAATAGCTCGAGTTCGTTTTGATATCGTATCATATTTATAAACAGTAGTTTTAAAACTTGGTACAACTGTCGTATTCAAAATCGCGGTACCATAGTAATATGAACATCGGGAACATGTTCACTCTACTGTACGGATAGCGACGGCAAGATCGTATGCATGCTTCCATATTGGGTTGAAAAGCTGCAAGAAAAATGGCGTTGCTGCCTGATAGCCTAACGGCATATTCGTGTGGCCTCGTACAGGACTAGCGCTGTTTTTCTTAACCAGCATTTCTCTTTTATGTTGTCCGAACAACTTCACAGACAGTGATAGTTCTGCTCCGGGTAAAGAAAGTATGACCATTTCGAGCCTAAACCTGACCGAACCGTCTGATATCTCGGAACAGCCGATTTCTCATCCCCGCCCCAACTCTGGGTATTTATGTGAGCTGACGGCGCTTCTTGCCTCGATAGCCCCCAGAGGTCCGCATCCCAGTTAACATCGACTCCATCCAGACGAAGCACATTGGAGCAATGGGCGTCATTATGACGAATGTGCCTTCCTTCTGGCTCCTTCTTATTGCCCTAGCCTCTTATCTTCTCCTCGGGATTATATATCGCCTGCATTTCCACCCTCTAGCAGGGATTCCTGGACCCAAGCTGACGGCGGCAACACATCTGTATGAGTTCTACTACAATGTAGTTCGCCCAGGCATGTTCTTGTTCGAAATCGAGAAGATGCACCGGCAATACGGTATATGCGCCTAGCTGTCTCTGCACGCGGTCATATGCTTAAGGCACAACATACATAGGTCCCATTGTCCGCATCACCCCCTGCGAAGTCCACGTTAGTGATCCTGCATTCTACGATGAAATATATGCCCCGAGCAGCCGAAAGCGTGATAAGCCTGTCAGTTTTGTTCCGTCAATCGGGCTACCCGACTCCATGGCGGCGACTGTAGGCCATGAACAACACCGTTTTCGACGAAGCATTTTGACCGAGTTCTTCTCCAGGCGCTCTGTCCTGGCGCTCTCAGACATGGTTGACGAACGGTTGCAGACGCTTATGCAGCGTTTCGAAGAGTTTCGAAACAATCAAACCGTCGTGTGCCTTGATGATGCTTTCACGGCACTAACATCAGATATCATCACATCCTATTGTTGCGGTAGACACTGGGGATTCGTGGAGGATGAACATTTCAACAATCAAGTCCGCAAGGCAATTGAGGATCTCGCCAAGTTTTGCCATGTTAACCGGTTTTTCCCCTGGCTGGTCTATCTACCGCGCATATTGTCACCGCGAGTATTCTCGATCCTCATGCCTGGGAAATCAGCACTCCTTGATTTCTTTGCAACCTTCTTGGACTACTCTACTGCGTCTTTATATGAAAACGAAGCCTTTGTCCGCGAGAAAGGCTACCAGACGGGAAACAGAAACATGTTCGCCGCGTTGGCGCATCCGAGTATCCCGCCGAAGGAACGGACCCGCAATCGACTGCGAGACGAAGCAGTTGCTGTCATCGGTGCCGGAACAGAATCGACAGGGCATATCCTGACCGTGGCTGCTTACCATCTTGCTCGCAATAGTGACATGCGGGCTACACTAAGGACGGAATTGAAGCAGGTACTGCCCACGCTTGACAGTAGGCCGACGCTGCCCGAACTTGAAAAGCTGCCCTATCTGGTGAGCAATTCATCATCATATCTGCGAGACATGGTGCCGCGTTACTCATCGTGGATAACCAGGTCGGTGTTGTCAATGAATCTTTGCGCCTGTCTTATGCATTGGTTGGGCGGCTTCCCCGTGTTGCGCCGACAGAGTCCCTCACATACAAGGACTACGTTATTCCTCCCGGAGTACGCGATAGCAAGCCCCGTTTCTCGTTTCAGTGACTAACCCGCCGCTCTATGTAAGACACCGATGAGCAGTTCCAGCTACTTCATTCACCGAGATGCCTCCATTTTCCCTGATCCGGAGAGGTTTGACCCCGATAGATGGGCCACGGCAGTCCAAAAGGAACAAAACTGCAAGCGTTACCTTACGTCGTTTACAAGGGGGAGCAGAGCTTGCCTCGGGATAAAGTATCTGACCCGAGCTATTTTGACAATCGCTTGCCTGATCGAAATCTAACTCAACCAATCTAGTCTCGCCTATCTGGAGCTCTTCCAGACAATTGCTCATTTTGTCCGCCGGTTCGACGTGCACTTGTACGACACGGAGCCAGAGGATGTTCGCCTCACAAGAGACATGACCATTGGATATACGAGACGGGGGTTCATGAAGGTTTACGCCAAATTGTCATCAGCCGAGGAGTGGTCGGGGGTCGAGCGTTGCTCCTGATCCTCGTTTTCCTTATCGAGATTCCCGTTAAACTTGGACCCTACGGCGGAGACACAGGCTATCGTATTCGTACTTGGTACGGTACAGATCAGCAGGCATAACAGGTTCCCTGCTGCTGAGTGCGCCGGGGTAATGCTCACGGCTAGTCTATGGTAGGCAGCTGACCTAGTTAATGGCGCTCAGGCCAAGGTTTCAAGTGTGTAGTACTGTATGATATCGTCTGGGACGCAGGTGCCCAACGGAGATTCCCGAGCCGTTACCGTTATTATAGTGGATTTGATGGCCCACGACGGACCGCCGTGTATCTACGTAATAGCGAACGAGGGCGGGAAACCTCACCTATCCTCCTAGTGAGGCGTGATTTTCCAGTAGGCAACGAGACCGCGCTCGCACGTGGTCTCCTGGATGTAGCGTTTGCCATTGTTATGCATAAATAAGAGCCTAACGAAGGATTAAATGGTTGCTAACCTCGCTACATGCGACCTCCAGGCCAGTATTAGCGCCTTGCTGTGGGAAAGTCAGCGGAAGTGGTACGCTTGGGGCGGGATATTCAGCCGCCGCCGAGTCCCTTGCATGGGCAGCTGAACGGGTGTCAACGGAATTCAAATGTACTGTAGAAAGCCCCAATCGCACATTACCTATACCTCTCATGCACAAACTCGTAGGATAAATTGTTTTGGATATTTCTTGCCTGGCCCAGTCGTCATCCAAGCACGAACCATGGTGCGTTGCTGCGCGGATGGTGAGAGAACGAACGGCTGACAAGGGAATGAGATGGTGATCGTCGTCTACAAATTGACAAGGCGCACCCTCTCCCAGACATCAGTCCCACCAGCTCGGTTTGGGGCCCTGATTTAGTGCCACCCATCTGCAGGACCTCGTCCCCCCCGCGGAGCTTACACGCTCAGTCCCGTAAGCTCCCCACACCTCTGACGACAGCCACAGCGCTTGGTAGCCTACGGGTAGCTGGACCAAGTTGCCGGGTCTAGCCCAAAATGAGAAGGAGGGGGAAGGGGCAAGTGATCCATGGGAGAGGCGTAGACGGTTGGAGGAGGCAGGCTTTGGCCCGAGGGCATGGAGTCCATGGACAAGCCGATTACGGACATTAGCCTCGCTCACGGGCCCAAGTCCTGGGGCCGGCTCTCCAGCCACACATACAGATGCATAATAGAGACATCTTTTCAAACGCCCGAGGACAACCACGCCGGGCAACTTGCAGCGGGAGGATGCCTGTGGAATCTCAAGCCCCCGGCGACCCGGGCGACGATGAGGAGACCAGGCCCCAGCCGGGTCTGCAAAGCTTCCCGTTTACATTCGACTGCTCCACGATAGGCGGGGCCCCGAGCTTCATCGAGGCCGATGTGGGTTGTGCTGCCGCAGACAGAGCCCATTTGCAAGCAGTGCTGACTCGATGGCGCATGCACAGATCGCAGATGAACTATGGTAAAGCATCGCCGAGGAGGCAGCGGTGCCATCGTCTGACCTGTATCTAACGTGTCCAACGTGTCCCACAGGGATGACTCGGCATCCCTATCCGAGAGCGTGCAAACCTTTCCCGAGGAATTCGGCCGCACCTACCACGCCTACCGAGCAGGCGGTAGGACGCTCCTCCCCTAGGCACCGAGGTTCGAACTGACAGGGAGCCGTGCAGTGTATGCGTTTCCCAACGACAACACGGAGCAGGAGCGGCTGGCGCTCCAAGGCCAGATTCTCAAGGCTCTGTTTGGCGATAGCCTCTACCTCGCCCCGCTCTCCAAGTCTAGGCCTCCGCGGAACATCCTCGACATTGCGACAGGCATAGGGGATTGGGCTATCGAGATGGGCGACGCATTTCCCGATTCCCAGATAATCGCCACGGATCTCTCGCCTATCCAGCCCCTTGAAGTGCCTCCCAACGTCAACTTTTTCGTCGAGGACTCGTACGTGTCCCGAGAATCTGGCAGTGCCTTGAGCGTGACCCCGGACCCAGGCGCCACCATCCCAACTAACCGCCCTCTTGTTGCAGGTCGGACCCCTGGATATACTCGCAAAGCTTTGACTATATACACACGCGGAGCACAGGTGGCTGCTGGACGTCGTTCCAAACACAGATCGCCGAGCAAGCTTTTACTGCGCTTAACCCTGGTGGCTGGTTCGAGTCACAGGCAGTGATCTTGTTGGACTGGACTGGACTGGATTTCGAGGTCGGATCCAGTCCAGTCCAATGCACAGCGCTGAGGACTCCAGAACCGCCAATGCAAATCCAATCCTTAAATGGATTAGCTCAAGGTAGTCGATATTCCGTATTTTATAGTCATCGCGAGATTACCACGGAGTCGATCCTTGTTCAATGCTGTGCGGTGTGTGATTGACATCAATAACGCTGGTTAACTACCGCAAGCCCTCCTGGGGCTGAGGAGTATTATCATGGAGGTAATCATCTTGATCCACGATCCGAAGGTCCTCGTCGTCCATTTTAGCTTCAGATCCATCCCCAGCTTTGTAAGCCTCCTGCAGATCAGACTCCCCTTCTAGTCTCCCGATGTTGATATCCTCAAAAGTATTTCGTGCAGGTGGGCCGTACCAGGACCGGAGGCACTCGCTAGCTTCAATGATGTCGATCTTAAGCCTCGACCTCCGGTCAGAAAGCAGGATCTTAGCGCTGCTGAATAACCGCTCGCATTCATCCGACATTGGTGGAACAGATAGAACATCTAGTGCCATGCGTGCTAGATCAGGTTGTGTATGATAGCGATCGTTCCAATACTTGATAACGTCAAAGCTTTCCTCCTCACCAAGCCGGATAACATCTGTCTCCAGGAACTGATCGAGAAGGTCGATGGCGGGCAGGTCTGTTGATCCGACCTCGTGACGAAGCTTCAGTCTTTTATGGCTCTTAACAGCCGCAAAAGGCTTCTCCTTCCTAACTGAAACAGACGACGTTGGACCGGGCGAAGCGGAGACCGAAGCCTGCTTTGTGGAATGCCTGCCCCGATACTCCTCTAGCCAGAGTTCTCTAACAAGCCTCGTAACGCCCGGGATCCATAACCGTTTTTCTTCGTCTGTCCAAGCCTCGACGTACCACTGACTTTTGAGAGTCGGATTCAGCGAAATGGCGGTATAATATGCCGGTGTCTCGTCCACTTTATTGAAATACTGCTCGGCCTTACGCCAGGAAGCTTCTGCCGAAGCGGCAAGAAACGCAAAGTTGTCGGCTTCAGCAGCGGCAGCTCCACGACTGGTCTTCCTTCGAACAGCCGCCCTGTGAAGTTCCTCGAATTTAATCTTGGCCTGCTGGATCTCATTTAGCAACCAGTCGAGCGTCTGAAAGTGATCTGCTAGCGTTGAATGCCTGCCTTCCGTCGACAGGGTTCCGTCGTAGAACGTCTCCAGCTGATCATGAAGGTGTGCAAGCTCGTTCCACTGCTGCTCAGACAGGCGGTCTTCAGCGAGACTTTTCTGGCTCTGGCCAGCCTCATACTGGTCACAGAATATCTGAATTCTCTCCTTGACATTGAGAGCTCTGCCGATTGACATGAAGTATGAGTTCCAGCGCGTTTGCTGGCTCTGGATAAGCTGGGCTAAATTAGTCCTGATCGATCTGCTGGTTCCCAGAGGGTACAAAGGCAACTCACCTCTAAGCCATCGAACTCCGACAGTGCTCCCCCACAGGCAATTGATCTGAAAAACTGACGGCGCTGAGGACTGGCTCGAATATATCTGATGATATTATGAAGCCTGCCGATGGCGCCGCGCTTCCGCCAGAGCTCCCGGATTCGCGTCATGTCGCCTTCTTTGTATGCAGCGTCTAGATCTTTGCAGATCTTTTTGGCGTCCTTTCCGATCAGGAAAGCCTGCGCGCAGAGATTCACAATATGCCCAAAGCAGCGGAGGCGCCTGCGTCTTCGCTGCTTGTCCGACATACTGGGGTAAACGGCGCGCAGCACCGAGTCAACGCACACATCGTTGGCCGTCGCGTTATCGGCCATGAAATAGCCGACCCGGTCCGTAATCTTATAATCTTTGATGACCTGTAGCAGGACATCGGCCATGTTCTCTCCCGAGTGTTCCCCTTCCATTTCGCGCAGCGCTAAGACAGCAGTTCGACGCAACCCAGATTTGTCTATGAAGTGTGCTACTACCCCAAGCACTGCGAGGTAGTTTGGCGACGTCCATAGATCGAATGACAACGAAATGGAACTCCGACTGTCGAGCATGTCCTGCCGCAATTTCTCCTTCCTCACCTCGAACGAATTCATCACCCACTGTCGAATAGTTGACGCTGCCCTTGGGAGAAAGTTCGTCAAGGGCGGGAACAGGTAAAGAGGAGATCGCGAAAGTAGTCATTCTCAACCTGGAAGAAGGCGATATGGCAACCGACCAGCCACCGGACGAGCAGTTCCTTGAACCTATCTAAGCGGCGGGAGAAGATGATCGACTTCACGTCTTGGTAGTCGGATATCGAGGGCTGGCTCGAGTCAACCGAGTCTCCTCGAAAGCTCTTGTGTTCCCCAGTAGATTTGTCGATATCATGTTTCGAGTGGAGGTGGTCAAGCGCTGTAGAATTGCCACTTGAGATAGCTGGGAGGTCTTGTTGACGACGCTGCTTCTCGCAGAGATAGCAGTACCAGACACGTTTATCATCTATTTTTGACTTCAGGTCCTCACCGTATAACCATATGACGGATGTACGCTTCTTTGTTGATTTAGGGCCTCTTGCCAGCACGGCACAGCGAGTATATTCCTCTCCTGAAGCCTGAACTCATCTGGCTGGATCAGGGCCTCCGGATCGCGACGACTGTTGATCGATTCCGGGCGAGAACAACATTATCTGACCTAGAGGGCTTATTAGAAGCGCCAGTGAAGAATTGGGTGATTGTCGATGCGGCCATTTGGAACGTTGATCAAGTTAAGGTTACGGTGGTTACCTTGTTGGCCAGATGGAAATATGGGATTCCTGCTGCTAGTTATACCGGCAGTCGGTCACATCTCCCGTCTGGCGAATTTCTACGTTGGTAGTTACCACTGCTCGTCATGAGCACGCTGTATTCCAATCAATAACGCGTTGTTGTGGTAGCCCTGAAACGAAAATTGGCGTTGAGGTTTTCTTCTTTCCTAATTAGGCATGGTCCATTGGAGCTCCAGGAGCCTCCAGACCTCTCGATCCAGTCCAGTCCAAATTTTTGAAACTGCAAATCCAGTCCAGCCAAATCCAGTCCATCCAAATCCACTCCAATGCTAGTCCAGTCCAACAAGATCACTGGTCACAGGAAATCGATTGCATCGTTGGCTGCGATGACGGTACCATGGACCCTGACGGGCCTATGGTCAGGTGGTTTAGTGAATTATCCGACGCAATGCTAAGCTCTGGTCGCACCCCTTTCTTGGGCGCCTCTCTCAGGGAGGAGTACGAGCAAGCCGGCTTCGTCGACATTCATCAACGCATCTTCAAAATACCCACTAACGGGTGGCCCAAGGATGAACGGCTCAAGGAGTTGGGCCGAGCGTGGGAGAGCAACTTTCTGCAGGGGATGAGCGGCTTCTCCCTCCAGCTCCTCAACAAGACGTATAACCGAACTCCCGAAGAGATCGAGGTCAGTCACCAGACTGCGAATCTTGCCATTATTTGTCTGACACCATGTCTGCTAACGACCGCTTAGGTGTCCTTGGTCGAGATTCGACGTGAAATATGCAATCCACGCATACACGCCTATATGCCCGTTTTCGTTGTGTGGGGGAGGAAGCCATTTCCATGGGAAAGGCAGATTCCTGTCGAGTCTCCCGCAGCAAAGTAGGCGACACGTTCAAATGAAAGCGCGATGCAAACCTTGGTTCAGTCTATGGCGATAAAGTGCGGCACATGTATAGTATATCGTTGTACGAAGTACAGCACAAGACTTCCCTACTCAGTCGTACCGGGTGGAGCATTGCAGACAACATTGTTGTTTAGCTGCGTTCTAGGGTGCCGAAAGACGTGGGGACAAGGCATCTCTGGTTGCGGTTTGACGCCGATGTCCATGGCATGTCTTATCAAAGGGTGGGTGCCAGTAGCCGTCATAGGCGCCATGCCGACGGTATTCAGTTTGCTTCCGGACAACAACGACGATCACGGTACCAAGGGCATTGCCGATTCGTCGCCTCTACATCTCGCAGTAATTAATCAACGGCCATGCCGACGTGGAAGTGGAAACGCTGAACGGTTATGCCAATACTCACCCGGGGGGGCAACCATGTAAGAAAGCCGTGCGTTGGTACCACGGTTCAAGTGATTCTAGGCACTTCGTAGTATGACAAGACAAAGCGCGTTGGTATTGCCCTGTGCTGGCCCTTGGCCCAACTCGACGCCCTACTCCAACACGAAGTTCAGGCTTTCAACTACCGGCTTCGAGCTGTTCTACCTGCTTTGTACATATCAGCGGCGGGGGTCGGCGTCGAGTTGATAAGGCCCTTCGTTCCTGCAGGCATCTTCCATTTCCTTTTGACAAAGTGGAGTCTGTGATACGCGAGCCGCGACATGACGAAACACGTCAAGGTCCTCAAGGCATTATTCCGATTCGCATATTAAATGACCGGCTAACATTACTATATCGTTCCTTCTATCTATTATCTCGCATAGAAGGGATCCGCCTCCGTTGAAGCCTTTCTACAGCAGAATTCTTAGACCTTAGCTGAGAGCCGCCAACGCAAAAACGACGGTGCCCGCAACGCTAAGTAAGGTTGCTGTAAATTGTTTGCTGGCACCGCTAACGAGTTGAGTCGAAGATGTAGTTGCAGCCGTGGTCGTGGCAGCCGTACCAATCGGTGCTCCCCTGGTGCCGTCGGCCGACTTGGTTGGGATTGCGGCCGAAGCGGTCGTCGTGCCGCTGTTGACACCCCCGGGCTGGTGAGGCATGGCGGTAGCAGTTGCCTTAGAAACACGCTCCTCGAAGTCGGAGGCAGTCATGGGGACTTTCACTATGCAGCTAGGCGTCTGCTTCGCGGCGTCGAAGCTGGTCGGCCCCTTGCAAATGGGCCAGCCCTCGCAGTTCTCCAGCTTGAGTTCTCCGCCAACACAGCAAACTCCGCCGAGATGTTGTTCATCCTCTTTGGTCACCTGCACGACGCCGGGGCATTTTCTATCGCTCGGCCAGGTGGCCTGGGCTAGCCCAGAGGAAGAAAGCGAGAGTAAAACAGCAAAGGTGGTCGGGAAATGCATCGTGGTTGTTTGAATGGTACCAGGTTTTTTTTTTAGAGAAACCAAGTTGTGTGAGGGACCGTATTGATAAGAAAAGGAGCAACAAGACAGAAGTGATAAGCGAAGGAGTAATAGTAGGGGCTGGAGGGTGATGATTGGGGCAGCAGATGAGAGAGAGTGATGAGAGTGTTGTTCCTCTGTGAAGAGGTCAATATATATATATATGAGGCCCGGCTCTAACTACCTATTCGCTTTTTCGACTTCATTTATCCGCCAGACTATGCGCTTTCCGTGCAATCGGTACTCCTCAAGACGTCTCGGCGTTGACTTATTTTGGTTATGGCCATGCTAAGTGGCGTGTTTTCCCCATGCATTAGAGGGTCCATAGGTCTGCCCACCCAGTCCAAAGCCATTCTAAGAATAGGTCCCGGCACCTGGGTCGGCATGTTCCGCGCCAAGACCAACGGTCGAAGATTTACAGTTTTACACTGCCTTTTCGGTGGGTTTAACCAAGGCGCTTGCTAGGACCTTGCATAATTTTCCACTATGGACAAGATGTGGCTGAAATGGGAAGGCACCATATCGGTGACCACCCTGGATATCGGTGGCGCATTTCGCATTGCCAACTGCGCATAAGCTGTCGAGCGCATGGAGTGAGGCGATTCGCAGTCTTCAACAGACGTATTGATTTCTCGAGTTGGAAACAATTCTCTGCCTAGCGGAGAAAGATGAGACAACCGTCAGTGGGATGAATAGAGACGCCGAACCTACATCAAGTATGCTATACTGGGAACATTAGATTGTGCTATATGTCATTCATCTTATGGTGAACAAGCATATAAATCGGGCGGCAACCTACGTCGATAAGAATCGAGACTTGCATGATTTTGCATCAAGGTTAACGGGCATCTATTTGCGACTATAGTTATACGTTTGCGGCGCCCAGCGCTAGGGAGGGCAGTCTCAGACGAGCCCTGCGAAAAAGTGATGGATCTAGTCACGCTCTCGCTCGCGGGGCATTGGGCCCTTGTTAGGCTGATGAACTACTTGGCGTGTAAAGAACACTTGGGTAGCAAAATGTTTCGGGCCGTATAGAAATAGGTCTGGTCCGGGTTGATTATGACTCCCAGTCGGTCAGTCTAGAGTTAATAGGCCTCCCGGTCTACTGGGAGGGTTTAACAATCGACCACAATCCCCGAGACTGCCCCTCAGTCACGTTGATCGGGAAAATGATGGTTGATTGGAGGGGAATAAGAGGACTGCTTAGAAACACGCCTTGAATAACAGGCAGACCACTCTTACAGGCAACTGTAGGTGTCACGAACCAACATGTAGGGATAACTTGTGGGCTCAACAGCACGGGGTGCGCCTACAGGCGGGATGATAACGAAGACGGAAGCGGCCAAAGAAAGTCACCTGTGGCTCTAGATATCTGTTTGCAGCCTGTGCAGGAATCCTGATGGACTGGGCATATTATGTACATGTATAATGTCACATCAGTCGACCCCCTCTTCCAGGGCCACACAGTCTTTCTCAATGCAAGGTCCACATAACTAGCAAAAGCACCACCCCCCATCCACCCTTCACCCCCCCTCTCCGGGGAGAGGGGAAAGGGCAGTAGCTGCCCCGGCTATATCAGCTTTGTTCACCTCTTTGCCGGCGGCAACCCAGGTAGCTAAATACCATTCACTTCTTACTGTTATTTGCGTCATTCGACTCCTCGGCCATTCGCCGGCGAATAAGGCGCGTCAAATGTAAATGGAAAGATGTCATGCATGTAAGGATTATAGAGAGCCAATTAGCCTTGACCGCCGCCCAAGCCAAGGGGACGAAGGTCCCAGTTATGAGTGAGGGCGGTACTCATATGATTTGGCGCGCCTCCTCGGCTGGGGTGAGATATCGTTTGATACTCCGACTCGTTCCAATCCGAGGGTCCAACCTCCACACTCTCAGTTACACTCCAACAGCGTAAGTACATGGTGGGCTATAAGTACATGCCTATCAAGTGTACATAATATGGAGTTACAGGGGCAAGATAGAGTCCCCAGAGAAGGAGTGTTCTGAAAAGTTCCATGTAATCTATGATCAATTTCCTGCATCCGTTTGATATGAAGCTGCCAACAGGATAAAGACTTATAAACTATACCAATAATACCTCCACTGGGGGTGCCCCTATTTTGCTGGTAGTCAAGTGGTATTTGCTATGTTTGACAGAAGTATAAGTCGAGCATGTGTTACCAGGTGTTTCCCGCTTTGCAAGGCGTTTTTTCTTGAGCTTGTAGTGCAGCGACAGGCATTCAGCTTTGCAGCCACATCTACATTACATACTCCATAATACTACGGAACACCCAGTTGGAGGGTGCTACGTATTATCCGACATCTGAGATAGGACCCCGAGCTTGCTATCACAATGGAGTACCATTGTTTCTTTAGAGAACGGTTTCAGCTGCTTCTTCTTTGTTGCCGTGAGATCTTCAAACACACCCCTGTCAAGTCCGACTTTCTTAATGTATTTCTCCTGGACTGGAACTTCCGGATCCTGCCGAAGTCGCAGTTTGTCCACCACGGTGCTAAAGCGATGAGCCACAATGACAACAGTGCGACCGCTCACAAACTCGCTTTCTATCAAGCTGTAGATGACCGACTCTGTCTGTGAGTCAAGTGAGGAGGTTGTCTTGTCATGCAGCAGACTAGGCCTACTCCCGGGAGGAGACTCCTTGTACTGAATCTGCCAGCGGAGCTTGATGACTGTCCGGGGATTATGGCACGCGCCTTGGCTAGAAGAGAAAATTGCCTGACAAATCAAACTGCAGGCAAAGAAGATAGCGGGCTGCCTCAGATTTCAAGTAGAACTTATATTTATATTTATGTACATCTTTTCTTTTTTGAACGCCTTGAACTAACGGGAGCCCCTCATTTATTATTCACAACGCTCAAGTCCTTAACTCTATTCATACGATCTTTATTCCGTATGCCCATGCTCTATTAGCCAAACCGCAGAACCCTCGTCTTCAGAGCATTCACTCATGAATCTGACAATACGTAACCTGCGCTTCGTACGCAAAGCTGACAGGCTTGCTAAGTCATGGTGTCCCGGCTCTGACGCTGCCGCCAAAGCAGGTGAAGCCGTGAAAGGAGATGGTTGGCTGTTCGCAGTGGGGCTTATGGAACAATTAGATAAGGCAACTTGGGAGGCTGTCTCGGACTTGTCACGTGGACAGCGACGTACCGCAGCCCCGCCGAAATAGGAAGACTAGCCCGATCAAAGCTTCCATCAACGTTGTTTGTGCCACCTTACAGAGGCTGTTCATGTGGAGTGTCACGTGAGCGACCCGCCATCCCTGAGCCTATCCGACGTGCCAACGTGGTGATAATGAGCCAAAGCCGTCTTGCACAACACCCGACCTCATCCTCGTCCACCCAATCGCCCACCATGAGCTACGGAAAGAGGGACGAGGACGCCGACCTAGGCCTGGTCAAGGTCGACCGCACCCAGGTCTTCCAGGAAGGTAAGCAGGCGGCACTGGCCCGAGTGTGCTCCCGCACGGCCGAGCTAATCGGCAGACAGCGCGACTCTTCAACAGCTCCCCCATCCAACCTCGACGATGTCGCATTCTCCTGACAAAGATTGCGCTCCTTCTCTACAACGGCGAGAGGTTCCCGTCCAACGAAGCCACCACCCTCTTCTTTGGCATCTCCAAGCTGTTCCAGAACAAGGATGCCAGCCTCAGACAAATGGTCCACCTTGTCATCAAGGAGCTGGCCAACTGCGCCGAGGATATCATCATGGTTACCAGCACCATCATGAAGGATACTGGCGGCGGCAGCGACGCCATTTTCCGCCCCAATGCCATCCGGGCCCTCTGCCGCATTATCGATGTGCGTTTCTACTGGAGAGCTTTGTCCGCACGAGGTACTGACGCCATCGCAGGCAACAACAGTACAATCGATTGAGCGCGTCATGAAGACTGCCATTGTGGATAAGAACCCCTCGGTGTCTTCCGCGGCACTCGTCTCGTCATACCACCTCCTTCCGATAGCCAAAGACGTCGTGCGCCGGTGGCAGAGCGAGACGCAAGAGGCCGCCGCTTCTACCAAGTCAGGCGGCGGCTTCTCGCTGGGCTTTTCGTCGTCGAGCGGCCAGATGCCCATGAACAACTCCACCATGACCCAATACCACGCAATCGGCCTGCTATATCAGATGCGCATGCACGATAGGATGGCTCTGGTCAAGATGGTCCAGCAGTTTGGGGCCGCAGGCGCTGTCAAGAGCCCTGCCGCAACCGTCATGCTCGTCCGGCTTGCTTCCCAACTGGCTGAGGAGGACGCCTCGCTGCGGAAACCAATGAAGCAACTACTAGACGGTTGGTTGCGACACAAGAGCGAAATGGTCAACTTCGAGGCTGCCAAGGCCATCTGCGACATGAGGGATGTCACGGACAACGAGGTCGCCCAGGCTGTCCACGTTCTGCAGCTGTTCTTGAGCTCGCCGAGAGCTGTCACCAAGTTTGCGGCTCTCCGGATCCTCCACCGCTTTGCCTCGTTCAAACCCAGTGCCGTTGCCGCTTGCAATCCCGACATCGAACTTCTCATCTCCAATAGCAACCGATCGATTGCTACCTTTGCCATCACTACGCTGCTCAAGACCGGCAACGAGGCCAGCGTGGATCGGTTGATGAAGCAGATATCCGGCTTCATGTCGGAGATCACCGACGAGTTCAAGGTCACCATCGTCGAGGCCATCCGCACACTCTGTCTCAAATTCCCCAGCAAACAGGCCGGCATGTTGACTTTCCTCAGCGGCATTCTTCGCGACGAGGGTGGGTACGAGTTCAAACGGGCTGTGGTCGAGAGCATGTTCGACTTGATCAAATTTGTGCCGGATTCCAAGGAAGAGGCTCTGGCCCATCTTTGCGAATTCATCGAAGATTGCGAGTTCACCAAGCTCGCCGTTCGCATCCTGCACCTGATCGGGCTAGAGGGACCCAAGACGGCTCAGCCCACCAAGTACATTCGCTACATCTACAACCGGGTGGTGCTGGAGAATGCCATCGTCCGAGCTGCCGCCGTCACGGCCCTGGCCAAGTTTGGCGTCGGTCAGAAGGATCCCGATGTCAAGGCCAGTGTCCAGGTGCTTCTCACGCGATGTCTGGACGACGTGGATGACGAGGTCCGAGATCGCGCCGCCTTGAACTTGAAGCTCATGGGCGAAGAGGATGACGACATGGCGCAAAACTTCGTCAAGAACGGTGGGCGCTTCTGTTGCCATGCTTTTAACCGACTAATCGCTGACGGCATTTGCCTTAGAAAACATGTTTTCGCTCCCTGTCTTTGAGCACCAGCTAGTCATGTATGTGACTTCAGACGACAAGTCGGGCTTTGACGACCCATTCGACATCACCAAGATCCCCGTGGTCACCCGGGAGCAGGCCGATGCAGAGGACAGGACGAAGAAGCTTACTGCGACGGCACCGACGCTCAAGGCACCCACCGTCAACCCTGCCAAGGCGCCCGCAAGCGGAGCGGAGGCTGCGGCGTCTGCCTCTGCCCAGGCACAGCGCTACGCCGAAGAACTGATGCGGATCCCGGAGATGAAGGAGTTTGGCAGCGTGCTCAAGTCGTCGCCGGTCCTCGAGTTGACCGAAGCAGAGACCGAATACGTGGTGACTGTGGTCAAGCACATCTTCAAGGAGCACATTGTTCTCCAGTACGAGGTCAAGAACACCCTTCCAGACACGGTGCTGGAAAACGTCTCCATGGTCGCCACCCCCGCCGAGGACGAAGAGCTCGAGGAGGTCTTTATCATTCAAGCCGAGAGACTGCCTACGAACGAGCCCGGCAAGGTGTACGTGGCGTTCAAGAAGGCGGCCGGGGAAGGGTCGATGCCCGTGTCATCCTTGTCCAACGTTCTCAAGTTTACTAGCAAGGAGATTGACCCGTCGACCAACGAGCCTGAGGAGTCGGGATACGACGACGAGTACGAGGTGTCCGAGTTTGACCTGACGGGCAGCGACTACATCATTCCGACGTATGCCAGCAACTTCAACCATCTGTGGGAGCAGATTGGGGCCTCGGGCGAGCAAGCAGAAGAGACGCTGCAGCTGAGCGGCCTCAAGAGCATCGCAGGCAAGTGCAACGAGCGAACAGCTGAGCGGACTCGAACTGACAGATTGGACAGATGCAACGGAGCAGCTGGCCAAGACGCTGTCGCTGCAGCCACTGGACGGCACCGACGTGCCGGTCAACCAGAGCACGCACACGCTCAAGCTCCTCGGCAAGACTGTCGGCGGGGGCAGGGTGGTGGCGACGGTGCGAATGGCTTACTCGTCAAAATCGGGCGTGACGACCAAGATTACTGTGCGCAGCGAGGAGGAGAATGTGGCGGCCTTGGTGGTTGCATCCGTGGCATAAAAGCAGTGACGTCGGCGTTGCGGGTAGCTTGGTTGTAGGGTTTATCCGGTTAGAAAATTCCGAAGCAGTCTTGTCAACTTGTTGGAGCACGCTGCGCAGTAGATGGGGGGCGATGACTCTTGTCTGCTCCGCAGGCAGGGCAGTGCATGAGAGCGAGGCGAGGGAGAGCAGAATGCGACGGGGGTTGTCAATGCAAACACTTGTTGATCCATGTGCCCCATCTGTTCATGCAGATGCTGGGATGAAAAAGCTGGTCGGTCGCGCGGCGGTTCCCACTCGGTCAAAAGTCTTCCATCTTGTACGCTTGATAGGCCGGCTCTTGGCACGAAGGAATTGACAGCATGATGCATCTGGGTCAAGCTGGGGATATGCGCCTTAAGGGCTGGCGGCGTCGCCGGTGGCCGAGGCGGGTCAGAAACACTCGTGATAGTTGCCCGGAGCGGCTGGCGCCGGCTTTGAAGATGGCCGTCGTGCAGGCAGGCAGGGCGGCGGGGGGGCGTAGAAGACGAGGGTGCAATTAGCGGGTGATGAGCAGGTCATGGCGGCGAGGGGTTGCCGCTGTGTGGACTGGATTGGAGCCGAAGGGCTGGTGGGGCTCTATCATGACGATCATCTAGATGGCTTTACCCGTGATGCCTCAATCAGGTATGCAGGTTGCGGAGTACTTGAGATATAGGCTAAGCTGCTATGCCGGGTTAGTTAGTAGAGGAGGACGGCTATCCACTTGAAAGAGGCATGGCTTTTTCTTTGTGAGTAGTGTCAAAGATGAACCGATAAACCTGTTTCCCCCTTCTTTCTTCGCCTGCAGTTGGGCGACGCTGGCTTTGATGCCGGTTGTAGCCGACCAAAGCGGATCGATTGGGACTCAATCTCTGTCCTGGTGAGAAGGAGTACGTAGTAGATTCTCAACTGCCCCATCCATCGAGCCATTAATGCGTGCCGATGCAACATGATGAAGTCAGTCCCCGGTGGTGGGGGACATGGAGAAACGGGGCGTTTCTTTGGGCCGCGTGTCCGAGAAGCAGCATCAACCAGTGGCTTCAAGTAGATATTGTCATATATCAAGTCGGGCCTGTAATGCAGACAGTCAACAAGGGAAAGATGCCACGTGCAGAGGCGGCTGCCTCGGCCTGGACACGTCGCGGGAGGATTTGCGGGAGGATTTGCTGGAGGATTGGCTGGAGGATTTGCGGGGTCGCGGTCCAACTGACCATGATGGCTGCCGATAGGGAACTCTGCTTGGTGTGAGATCGCATGTACAGACATAAGTTACGTGCGGGAAACGCGCGCCAAGAAGGGCCTCATTCGTCAATTCGAGCCGAGTCTGGTAGAGCCTCTCCAGCCTCCCCGTGTCGCATGCGCCCCTTGAGCATTCCTCGGAGGAGGAAGGCCGGCTTGGGGCAGAGGCTTTGATGGCGCGTCTCGTGGCTGGCCCGCTTGCCTTGTCGGTACCCTCAAAAAACCCTAAGCCTTGTCGGTGACGATGGCGGTGCGCAGTGGCGAGAGACAGAGCGCGACGGACAAACAGGGCAAGATGGAAAGGGGCAAAAGAGCAATCTATCCCAAAGGATACAGCGAGGTGGGCGCCTGTAGGGGCATGTACCGGCCAAGTATCCACTACCCCACAGGCCGTCATCGTGGTCGCAGTCCCGAGAGGCTACTGCCGCATGTGTTTGTCCGGTGCCTGACAAAAGTAAAGAAAGACGACCCGTCATCGTCAGGCACGCGTACTTTGTACCCGGCACACTAATCAGCAAGGTAATCTTTACCGGCCGGGTACTTGCACTTTTTTTTGTTGTTGTGCTGCGACCGCGATGGCTCACCAATTTTTTTTCTTACCTGCCTCAGTGACGATCCATCCCAACCCGTCATCAACTCGCTCATTCATCTTCCTCTTCTCGCCCGCTCCGCGCCCTCGCCCTCGCCCTCGCCCTCTCTCCCTCTCCCTCCCCCACCACCCGCGCAACGCTCCAAACACTCGGCTGCGCTCGCCCGACCACTCGTCTTCCGTGACTCGGCGGCACCATGAACGCGCTGCAGCAAAAGTGCCGCCCCAAACATCAAGTCCTGGTGCTCAAGTGCTACCCGCGAACCACAAAGGGCGCCGTCGACGTCAAGCCAAACAGCAGCGAGCTCAGCTACCTGCTCTTCTACGCCACCAGCCGCCGCTCCAAGATCCAAAAGATTGGCGCCTTTCTCGAGAAGAAGACGGCCAGCGATGTCTGGCGCATGCGCATCGGGTACCTTGGCCCCTGGCTGGCGTGGCCAAACCCTGACTGACTGCTGGCTAGAAATGTCCAGGTGACGCTCGGCATCCTCGCGGCTCTCGTCGACAAGTCCCCCAAGGACCTCGCCCTCATCGCCCCCTGCATCCTCAAGGTCCTCGACCTCGTCCTCCGCTCCAATGACATCACCATGGTCGAGTCGTCCCTGCCCACCTTCCAGGCCTTTTGCGACCACCACGAGGCCTCGTCCCTCTTTGCCGACCACGACCATCTCCAGCAGTACCGCTCCATCGTGACCTCGTACGCCCGCCTCGCCTCCTCTCAGCACGTCCCCGGCAAGGCCCCCGTCAGCCGTCCCGTCCAGATGCGCTGGAGAACCGCCGGCCTCGATGCCATCAAATACGTGTCCTCGTCCGACGCCCTGTCCTCCGTCACCGGCCGCCAGATCGACGTCATCATCCCCACCATCTTGGACAACCTCTGCCCCGCCAACGATGATTTCTTGGACATGCTTCTGGACCGTGTCGAGGCCGAGGACAGGGTCGACGCCGAGAAGCTGCACCATCGCCGCACGAGCGTCGCCACCGTCAAGACCGCCGATACCGCCGCCGACACGAACCCGCTGGCCATTTCCGGTACCGCCCTCGATGTTGACAAGATAGCCGAGGAGGGCCTGGGCGTTCTGGCCATGCAGTGCCTGAAGAGCGTCTTTGTCGTCCCCAACCGCGCCCAGATCCATGCGGCCACCGTCGCCTTGCTCAGCTTCATCTCCCAGAGACCTTCGCAGGGCCGGGCTACGGTTACAGACGACGCGTCAGACCCTGGGGCCGGCTGGGCAATCAAAGTCTTTGGCATCATCGCACGTTGGGCGCCCGTCCAGGATCGCTACGTCATTCTGCTGGCCGCCCTCGACACCATGTGGAAGACGCCCCTCAGCGACGATAGTCTGGCGCATCATCTGGCATTGACGGGCATGATCCAGTCTTTGCTCCGCTCCGATATCAACCTCATTGGCCTGAGCGTCATGGACGTGGTACTGGGCCTGGCGAGACAGATCAAGAAGCTGTTTCAACTGCGCCTCGGCACCGGCCAGGACGGTAGCAGCCAGAGCGACGAGAGGACCGACGCCGAAAGAGAACAAGGCCTACGCTCCCAGCGCAAGGCCCTCGTCGACCGCCTCGAAAGATGCATAGGTGACCTGGCAACGCACGTCTACTACGCTGACCAAATCGCGGACATGGTTCTGGCACTCATTGATCGCCTTAAGCCCGGCCGGTCCTCCAGCTCCAGTTCGCTTCCCCGCGGTGACGAGGCAGACGGGAACGAAAACGGGGGGCACGCATCGGCGTCGGCGCTTGATTTACCGGGATCGCAGTCGCCCTCGGGCGCCCATGTCTCTTCCAAGATTCTTAGGATATCTGCCCTGAGGGTCATCAAGGCCATTCTGATTGTCGCCAATCCGAAGACGAATGGTGGCGGAAACATGGACCTGTCCCGTAATCGTGTTCCCATCACCGTGTGGGAAGGAACACAGTGGCTTCTGCGGGAACCGGACGGGCTCGTCAGAAAGGCCTACGTCGATGCGCTGGTGACATGGCTGGACCGCGAGACCACGCCTGCCGACTCACGGGCACAGGACGAGCTCGCCGTCCCTCACCGCCAGTCGGTCAAGGGCGCCGAGCGCGAGCCGTCGTATGGTCGGCGAGTTGTGTCGGCCGCCTCGGCCCGCGAACGTCAGCCAAGGGAGCGGCGATGCCAAGTCTTGCCGCTGCTGCACCTGGCGGCGTACGACAGCGCTCTCCAGTTCCTCGATTTTGACAGCGACATTGCGCTCCTGCATAACCTCCTCGCGAGACTCGTCATCAAGCTTGGCGTCAACGCCGCCCGCTATGGCATTCCCATGGTTTACCGGTTGCAGGAGGACGTACAGGTCCTGGAGCAGCCCATCCACAAAGTGCGCATCGCCGCCTTGTGTCACGGGTATTTCTGGGCTCTGATCGAGAGGTTTGGCTTTGAGTCGTCGGTCGGCGGACGCGCGATTCAAAATGAGATTGCTAGGCGGAGGAGCAAGGGATTCTGGGCCGAAGGCGTGCTTTTCCCACCGCCGTCGATTGGTCAAGTCGGAACCCCGGGCCAGCCTGGACCTCAGCCTGCCTGGGATCTCGGCACTCTCGAAAAGGAGGCGCTGCTGCCGTTCGACGACCGGGCGTCGCTTGTCCAGGGCATTGCCGAGAGCTATCAGGAGAGCAGTCTGTCGCCACCTGGAAGTCCTGGGGCGTCCCAAGGGCGAGCCGTTTCCAACCCAATCTTGTCCTCGAGCGCAAATTCGATGCCCTCCGGAGAACACTCGCCGGAACTGCCCGTCGTCTTTCGGGACAGCATGCTGTCCGAATGGTCGAGGGACGGCGCCATAGCGGCGCTTGCCGAAAGCAGGACGGAGTCTCTCGACGGGTCTAGGACGGGCACTACGGGGACCAACCAAAACCGACTCACGATCCACTCCGCAGGAGTGAACGGAGGAAGTCACCACATCCCGTCTCCGTACGGCAGCGTCCACCATCTGAGGCCTCACTCGTCTCAGGCGCACGGCGAGCGACTGAGCTCCTTGTTGAAACCACGCAAGACTAGCGCCCGGAGTGGCGTCTCGCCGTCGGCCTCGGAGTCGAGCAGGGGCGGCATCGCCTCGGTGGAGCAGTTGAAGATGATATTGTCGGGCAACGCGACGCCGCACATGGCAGGGATCCCGAGCGCCGGGGATGACAGCGACGAGAGCATGGTCAGCTACGAGGACAGCCCTTCGGAGCGAAGCTTGAGCCCGACGTCACGGGGAGAGCAGCTGTTCATGATGGGCGAGGCCCTCGGCCGGTCCCGATCAGCATCAGGGTCGTTCAAGGGGCCCCTTACGTCGAACCCACCTTTCAATGGCGAGGCGGGCGAGGAACAGGGCGAGGATGATGTGCCTCCGGTGCCCCCTTTGCCGAAACTGAGCGCACTATCGATTCGAGGCGGCATTCCGCAAGGGGTCATTGCGACGCAAGATCACGCCGTTATGCCCCCGAGGCTAAACACTGGCAGCCGCGGCGGAGAGAGCGTGGCGACACGGCCACCGCGATCGCGCTCCGGCAGCAGCAGAGGGATGGATCTGCAGGATCTTTTGCGAGGCATCGACAGCAGAGCAGGAGACGGAAGCCTGGGCAATCTGATCAAGCCGCCCTACTAGACTCCCGCATGAAGCACGCATCACATACTATTTTCCCCGTGTTTTTATTCACGAAGAGACGAGGCGGGAGACGGGAAGAGCATGTTTGAACAGGGAGCAAGCGATACAGGCTTTCCTGGGCCACAAGATACTATGCATTTACTTTGTACCTAATGAGTTGACGGGGAGCTCGGGAGAGTCCGGTTGACGACGTGTAAGAGTCAAGAAACAGGGGATAGACGCGATGACCGGCATTCAGCATTGGTGTGGAAATTAGGCGCAGGCCGAAGCATGAGGAACCAGTCAGGAGCTGCATGTGCTGAGGGAGATGAAGCTGTCTTGGGGCCAGGCGTATCCGGGAGAGTTGGCCCCGTTTCATGGACTACTCGTAAGAACAGCGATATCAGCTCTCGGGTCTGCTCTCTTGCTATCTTGAAGGACCACGATGCGGCCGGATGCGTGGACGACCCCTGCGTAACCTGGCTACATAAATGCGACGGCTCGTGTGGTCCGCTGTTTCGACGGGCACGGTTCGTGGAGGCTCGGGGCCCTCGGGGGTCCGGGCCGGGGCGCCATCATGTCCGTGGCATTTGTGCCGGATGTCGGGGTGCTGGGCGATGCCGGAGGAGCCAAAAGGGAGAGGGAGGGAGGGGGGGGAGACGGCTGATGACGAGGGGGGATCTCAGCCGGCCGTCGTCAGCGCTGTCGAGGAGGTCAGCGGGCTCACCCTCCAGAAGCGAATGGACCCCATCCTTCTCTCACCGGTGTTGCATTCGCCGCGGCGACGGGTTGATGAGCAGTATGCACGCATGACGGCCTAGCTAGGGTAGAGGGAGCCGTGCCTCGTTGTTGTCAGACTGTGCGGTCGAAGGAATAACGGAGCTGACGAGGCCTCTGGTCCTCCGACGGAGAGTGTTTGGCAGGCTCCGGTTCTCGTTGATGAGCAGCACTTGGGCGCACACTTTTCATCAGACGCGGGCGGCTCTCCCTTTGATGCCGGAGCAGGCCCAAGACACAAGGGTGCACGCAGGCCTTTGGGCCGGGGCACGGCATCAAACGGGGAGTGAGGGACGGCCCCTCGGGTTGCTTGATTGCGGCAAACGGCGGGCTTGCTTGTTTGGGGCGGCCGAGACCCCCCCATGATCCCCTGTTACGAAGGGCGAGCGATGACGATGCCGTCCGCTCTTGGAGTCGTGATTCGCTGCTTCTGGTGGTGACGACGTTGTTGCGTGTGTAGAGAAGGGGGGACGAAAGGCGGCTTCGTGGCGTGGCATGCTGCGTAGAGGAGGAAAGAGCCGGTCTCGCTGTCAGGCCCGGAGATGGACTGAAGGACCATGTATCGACGATGGCTTGGACGGCCCGAGACGACAGGCCGGTAGGTGCCTGAAGGGCTCGTATTCACTCCAGGTCCCGTACGACGATGGGAGCGCATATACGGGGGCGATGGCGGCACGGGCGGTGCATCTATTCTTTCACGATTGTGTCTCGGCACAAGGGTGAAAAGCTGCCGCTGACCGGCGAGGCAGCATGATGACCTCGTTCTTCAGCGGGCTGTGGCGGCTGCGAATGGGCGTAGTAGCGGGAGATGAAGAAGAGTGTTGGTTCGGTTGGTTTAGGTGGTTGGTTGACAGAGCACGGCTGCGCGGAGGCACCGCATGCCAAGAGGCGCGTTGGCATGGCTTGCCGACCGGATTGACGGCCGTCACGTAAGTTAGGCTGCCCACCAGTTGGCACATCGTTGCGCATGTTTGGGGGCATAAAGACGGGCTTATACCCCGTGATAATAGTAGTGGTGGCGGATTTGGAGTGCGTGGCCAGCGCTCCGGATAGGGAACTCGGATAGGGAACGCGTGTGTCTCTGGGGCGCCGCGGCTGCTGGACTCCCCCACCGGGGCCCCGCCTCCTCCAGGTACTAGTGAGGGGCCACGGCGGTGGATGCCGGGGCCTGGGCCCGTCCAATGGCCGCGTCTCCGGTACCTGATTGACAGCCTGAGCCCACCCACTCACTGTGCTGAACCTCCGACCTGCTAGCTGTATTATTATATGACGACAGTACAGTAGGTATACTTTGCACCTACACAACATGGCTGTCATTCTATGCTACATGCACATACCTTGCATACATGACTAGCCGTCGACGGAGGGGAATCAGCAGACACCCACCACCCTCCTCCTCCTCCTCCTCCTCCTCCCATCGAGCTCCACTTGCAGACACGTCTTGTCGTGGTTCTCTTCTCACTCGACATCCATCATCGAACCAACCACCAACCAACGCGGCTCCATAAATTGCCTCTGGTGCATTGGTGTTGGCTGGCAAAGCCCCAGTTGCGACAGTGCATGCAGTACATCCATCCATGCTCCTCCTCCGCATTGCGACTCAAAGAACACCCTGGACTGGCCGAGCCCCTTGTTTCTGACTCCCCCCCCCGCCCCTCGTCGCGCTGTCGTTGAGCTCACAGGTTTCATTTCAAAGTCTGGTGCTTTGGGCTCCCACGGTAAATTACCTACCTCCATTGTGTATGTATGCGTGTTGTGTATGTAGGCGTGTTGTGTATGTATGCGTGTACGAATACCTCTTGGCTCTCCTCCCTCTCCTCCACTCTCCTCGGCCTTTTGACTCCCAACGCGTCGATGAGGAACGATGGTGCCTTACCCATGTGTATACCATACCGTCCACATGTATGTACAGGAATTACCCCGTACGGCTTGGCGGAGATGTGGCCTGAGCAGGGCGGCATGCCTACCTACTCGCTGCCGGACCGGCGACAACGCACGCGCATGCGCATCCAGCAGTCGTGTGTGTGTTTCGGGGCCCGACGACGGGTCCTCGGTCTCTCGATGTCTCTGCTTTCTTTCTTTCTTTCTTTCTTCTTCTTCTTCTTCGTCTCGTCTGCTTTCTTTTCACCACCCGGACTTGCTTTTCCTCGGTTTCGCATCTCACGCCCCCCCTCCCCGGGAAAAGCCTTGACCTCGGCCGTTGACGAGGTAATTCTGTGGGGGTTTACGGAGTACGCGGTTCGCCATCCAGAGCGGTTTTTGCATGCCGGATTCGACATACACCCATTGCGCGTGTCCAGACGCGGGCACATGACCAACAGCAACGACGCCGACGAGCATACGCCTGCCACTGCTCGGCCACAAGCCGCAGCCGCGCAGGAGCGTGAGGCCCGGGGCGAAACAGGGCAATCCATGTAGACGGGAACAGAAGCAAGCACGGCGGACGAAAAAAGGAAGAAACAAGGACGAGACGGGGAAGAAACGGGGATCGTCGCCCTCATTTTGCAATTTGGCGGGCACGCAAAAGGTACAGCTCAGTTGTCATCAGCCCACCCACCACGACGCCTTGGATCAAGGGCCCCAAAAAGGCCCTAAAAAGCCCCCAGAAAGGGCCCCAAAAAGGCCCCAGGGGCAGGAAAACAAGGCCCAAGCCCGCTCTTCTGCGTCTTCACAATCCATCCATCCATCCATGATCCATCCATGATCCATTATCCATTGACGAACCATCATCCAACAGCACTGTGCGTCGTGGCTTCACCGCCCGCCCTCCCGAAACCCAAAGTCCCCCAACACTCCTCGCCCTTGGTTTTTTTTGGCACCCCGATCCCCTCTCCGAACCTCTCTCTCCCTCTCTGTTATCCGCCAATCCCCCGTCCATTGCCCCTTCGCGCTCGCATTAACCGCCGACACAGAGCGCGCTCTCGGCCCGCGTCGTCGCTGCTGTCTGCCCCCTTTTAGTATCGTCGCCCAATCATCCTTGTTAGACGCGGCAAAAATCTGTCAGGCGACGGTGCCGAGGTACAGCCCCAGGTACCGGGTACCCTCGCGTACCGCCACGCTCCCGCCGCCCGCCGCCGGTACCTGCGGCGACTCTGCTTACACGGCCCCTTGCTGTGGCACCAGCCACCATGACGAGGCGATACCACCACATGTCAAGCAGGTGCGAGCAGCTTCCTCCTTATCTTATCGCTACTCTTCGTTGCTTTCCATCTTGACCGCCTCGTCCATTGTTGACTCGATTCATCCTCCACAGCCGCGAGCTGCACGTCGTCGTCCTCGGCGCAGGTTCGTCGTCCAAGCCCTGTCTCTTCTCCCCGGCCCTCCTGACGATTGGCTTCCCCAGGCGGCGTCGGCAAGAGCTGTCTCACCGGTCAGTCGCGTCCCCCGCCGACGCCCGCGCAAGACTCACACGGCGCCTCTACAGCCCAGTTTGTTCACAATGAGTGGATCGAGAGCTATGATCCTACCATTGAGGACTCGTATCGCACCCACATCCAGGTCGACGTCAGTCTGCTTCCTCCCCGACCACTGCCGGGAGCCCTCCTCTAACCCATTCGTCCTGCAGGGTCGCCAGGTCGTGCTTGAGATGTGAGTCCCCCAGCAGCCCCAGCCCTTCCCTCCAACTAACCCCCAAAACACAGCCTCGACACTGCAGGCACGGAGCAGTTCGGTAAGCCGCTGCCTCGTCCTCGCCACTTGACCTCGAGCCCCTTCATTGACCCTTAACCCTTATAGTTGCCATGCGGGATCTCTACATGAAGACGGGTCAAGGCTTTCTCCTCGTCTTCAGCATCACCTCACCCTCGTCCCTCAACGAGCTGGCCACTCTACGCGAGGAAATCATCCGCATAAAGGACGACGAAAACGTTCCCATGGTCATTGTCGGCAACAAGGCTGACCTGGAAGAGTCTCGCGCCGTCCCCCGGGCCAAGGGCTTCTCCATCTCCCAGCGCTGGGGCGCCCCCTACTACGAGTCGAGCGCCAGGACGCGCAGTGAGTCATGTCCCCGCCCACCAGGAGCTTTCGCTGACCCCTCGACAGCAAATGTCGACGAAGTCTTTGTCGACCTGTGTCGCCAGATGCTTCGCAACGACGACCACCACCTGTCGTCAACATCCGACGGCGGCCTCAAGATGGATCCCATGCGCGGCTCCCACAAGCGCAACCGTCGCATACGCATCAGAGACCACAACCACCCACGTTGCACCATCCTCTAACAGCAGCACCCGGCTCCAGGCAGGTGACAAGAGACCGCTCCGACCTTGACCCTGCGATGCGAAGGCTGTGGCACTGCAGACCCTTGACAGGGGCCCAGGGGCCGGCCCGTCTTATATGAACGGGACGAGATCGGGCTACGAGCGGGTCGCATCGCCCTGCAGGGGCATGTTTGACAGTCGCATGGTTTCCCTCCCTTGGACTCACCTCCGACTCACCTCTCTGCCTTGGTCATCTGACCCCCTTAAGAGTCGGTGTCCTGCCGAGCTGCCAGGCGGGCGGTGCCGCCGTCCTGGGAGCAACCGGAACAGGACGCCATCTCCCACGGCAAGCCGGACAGGGCATGCCAACCCAACAAGACGTAAAGCCAGGGGGGGGAAGAAAGATTTTAGGACGGGACTCGCCCCAGACCCAGAAAGGCGAAAAATACGGAGGAACGCAAGACCGCAGACCTGCCGAAATGGGAACACGATGGCGTACGCGGCGTTCAAAGACGGATGGCATGGGTTTGGCAGCGCCTCTTGAATGGAATGTTTCGCTCTCACCCCACCCCACACCGTTCTTTTGCCGTTGACTTGTCTGCTGCTGCTTGGCGCGATTTCCTGCCTCTGCTACATGGCGAGCCAAAAACGGCCGGGCCATTGTCTCATCTCTTGCTTCCCAGTCAGGTGAGCTCCTGAACCCTGGACTCGATATCAGATGTCATGATCCAGCGCGTCACCGGGATGGCCTGACGGCGCGTTGCCACGACGAAACAAATATCTCCTCGATTGAAGGGGATTCGGTCCGGCTCGGCTCCATGCCCGACTGGCCGTGCCGTCAACTCCGGCGGAATATGCTCCACAGGTCGCGTATCCACGCCCAAGAACCCCGGGCCGTAGCTATGACGTTGAGCAGGCGCACGTAGCGCCAGGTAAAGGTCTCGACCTCGTCGTAGTCGTGAGCGTAGCACTCCCACGCCGCCCTGCCCTGGCCGTGGCCCTCTGCGTCGGCGACGGGGATCTCGCCGGGCGGTGCGGACTTGAGGCGGGGCCCGACAACGAGGGCGCGGCCGGCGACGGAGACATCGGCGATGAGGCGGGTGGCGGCGTCGACGACGTCCGGGACCGAGGCCGGCCCCGCGCTGCCGGCCAGGTAGGCCGCCTCGATGAGGGGCTGCAACATGCGGGTGCCGCCGACATAGTACGGGGCGACCATGTTGACGCGGATGCCGTAGCGCAGGGCGGCGGTGCCGCGCAGGGAGCGGAAGAGGCCGGCAACGGCGTGCTTGGACATTGTGTACTGCGCCTGGCCGGGCAGCGGCACGATGGAGGCGAAGGAGCCGACGAGCAGGAGGCACCGGTCCGGGCGCGGGTTGCGCGCCAGGTGGTGCAGGGCCAGGTGGGCCGTGTAGGCGACGCCGACGACGTTGACGTCGAGCACGGCGGTGCTGGGGCGGGGGAGGGTGCCGGGCCCGGGGCCCGCGTCGGCGGCGACGGGCTCCTCGAAGCGGATGCCCTCGTCGACGAGCAGGACGCCCGCGTTGGCGACGACGACGTCGACGGCGCCGCGCGGGCTCGTGGCGACGGCCGCCTCGAACAGCGCCACCTGCTGCGCCCAATCGGTCACGTCGCAGCGCCGGTAGACGCACGCGGCAACGGCGGCGTCGTCGCGACGGGCGGCGCGCAGCCCCGCGACGAGGGCCTCGCCGGCGGCGTCGTCGACGTCACCGACGACGACGTGGGCGCCGTGCGCGGCCCAGGCGGTGGCCATGGCGGCGCCGAGCCCGCGCGCGCCGCCCGTGATGACGATGGTCTTGCCGCGCAGCGCGCTGGCGGCATAGGGCCTGGAGACGTCGACGGGGGCGGATTGGCGGATGGTGGCGCGGGCGTCCATGGCTGGCTGCCTGGCTGTTTCGGGGGCTTGCGGCGTGCTGCCTTGCGTGGTGCGCCGCTTCTTTGCGCGCCGCTTCTCGATCGCTCCTTTCTCGATCGCTCCTCTCTTGCTGCCCCGTGGCTTGCAGGTGAGCAGGAGACGAGTCATACACGTCCAGAAACAAAAAGGAGGCGTGTGGAAACGGGCCCCCCTCCCCCTTTCCCTCCCCCCTCTGCCCCCCTTTCGAGCCCGCGCCCCCTGTCCCCTCTCGCTGCCTCGTCCACCCGCGCTGTGAGCACAGTCTGGGATCCCAATGCGAGGCGAGCAGTGGACAGGCTTTAATCTCGGGGCAAAGTCAAACCAAAAGCCATAGCAAACGAACGCCGGAACTCCCGCTCGGTGGCCGGACTGGCTGGAAAAACTCCCACCAACCAGAGGCGAGCGATGCCGGCGCCGGCGTCTGGCCAATCACGGCGCCTCCCTGCAGCCCTCGACCAAACGAGCCCTCCCGTCGTATGATGATGCATCATGCCGCAGCTTGCATCATCGGGTTCTAGACCTGCTTCCGGCCGCAGAAGTCGCTTTTGTTGTTTTGCTTGGAGCCCGCTGCCTCTGTGCCACCACCGTGGTTGATGTGGTTCATCTGATAAACTGCACTTCTCCTTGAAGCAAAGTCACAAAGGGGGGGGGGCTGTCCAGCAAGAAGGACACGGAGCTCTGCGTGCCAGCAGGCAATCGTCGTCTTCGTCGCCACGTTCGTCGTCCATGTTTGTCTGAACAGGGTAAAGCACGACTTGGACGTACGTACTGTACGGCGTAAAGTACTGGCCTGATGCTGGAGACGAGGCTTCTGCCCATCTACTTGGATGCAGCCAATCATCCTCCTTGGTCCGTAAGACTTGGTTGGCATGCCCCGTGCATACCCGCACACTCCGTCCACATCTACCGAGCAATGCACTTGCTTTGTGGGCGACTTCGTTTTCAGTTTGAGTCTGCTTCCAGCCCCCGCAGTCCAGCCGGCTTTCTTCAATGACGCGGTGAATCGCCCGTCGCACACACACTGCACGCTATCGCCAGGCTGTGCTTCGTACTTGGTGCTCGGTACTTGATAGACTGCCATCCACCGCCGCGCCTCGAGACCAAGGTGATTCCGTGGAGCGCCCACTGTCCGTCCTCATCGCCTGGACTGGCGTAGGCGGCTGCTCCTCCAGGGCATGCTGCAGCGGCCCGGAGCATTTCTTGGAGGGTCTATATATATACACGTGTGTGGGTGTGAGCGTGTGTGCGTGTGTGTGTGCGTGTGTGCGCGTGCGTGCGTAGGTGAATGGGGGTTTGTGCGCACCCAAGGGAAGCCGTGTGGGCTGCCTGCAGAGTATCCATCTGAACAGCCCCGCGGAGACTGGGACACACACAGAGATGGTGCGTGAGCGGCAAGGCTGACTGAATATGGCGGAGGGTAGGACAAGAACCACTGCATGCCTGCACCGGCCGCTCCTCAGAGAGCAACGTCACCATGCCGCGCATCCAAGCGGCACGGTAGACGAGCCAGGTCTGGAGAGCGGAGGGCCCTCCGACACGCCCTGCCATGTACTGTACGGCGCCACCTGTACAGAGGACAACGAGCTCAGCGTGTCTCGGCAGGCAGCGACGTCTCCATCGAGCCACGCACTCCAAGTCCCGAGTACGAAGCCGTCACCTCCTCAGCGAGGCCATCCAGCCCCATGGCAAGGGGGGCCAAAGGGAAGCTGAGCTGCCAAGCCCCATGCCGCGAGGGGTACCTGGTATCCGAGGTCCCGGTCGCCCGTCTGCGTGCCCCGATTCGTTCGCTAGCTTGGATCCCCAACCCGCCGCCTCAGCCACCGCCGGTGAACAGGGTCGTCCGGGGGCCTGTTCTGCCTGCGGGCTGGCAGGGCGAGGCAGGAAACGAAGGCGAGTCCAGAACCCAACATGGTCGGGGAGCAGCGGAAGAGGATCTAGAGACTTGCCATTGCTGTCGGCGAGTCCCCGAGCAACCGGACTTGGATGTAGAACAACCGCCGGCTCCAGGGCCGACCAGGTCCTTACCTTGGCCAGGAAAAGCCGGACTGCGGCAATCCATGCCAAGCTTTCACTACGGATGCAGCAGTGCGTTAGCCGCGTCCCAGCAACCAACAGGTTGGCGAGCCGGGGGGGCGTGTGCGTGCGACAGGACCCGCTGATTGGACTTTGGATCTACGTGGGGCCTTTCTTCTCAGGATCCTCATGGCCTCATGGCCTCTTGGGAGAGTGGTCGCGAGAGCAGAGCCTGCTGAAGGGACGAAGCATAATGGTTCGAGACGGCCGGATGATGAGGCGACGTCTTGCTCCCATACAGTGGGCACCCGAGTTCGCAATCCCACGTCTTGCTCTTCTTTCTGGCTTCTTGCTCTTTGGGAAGCCTCGGTAGGGGCTGGTGTTGCGGGACGGTTCCTTGCAGCAGGGAATATTGGTAGAACAGGAAAGCAGGACTTCCAGGGAACCGGTCCCCGACTCTTGGCTTTTCCTTTTGGGTCCGAGGCGTGTTCGCAGATCTGTCATCGGGAGAGCCTCGAACAACAGCCCTGCACAGGTGCTTGCCGAGCCCGCACTGTACGGCCTGCGAACACGCCGTCGTCTCTACGCGGTGCATCCTCGAGGGAACGGGGCTGCTGTGTCGTACCCGCCTGTCCTGCAGCAAGACGATGCCGACTCGGAGCTGCAGCTCGAACCACGGGGAGACACGTCAACGCCCGCCGTGCCAGTTGCAATCAGTCCTCAAGTCGGTATCTCCGCAGGACAAGCTCGCAGGATAAGCTCGCAGGAGATAGAAAGAAAGAGGGAGAGAGACGGGGAGGGGGCAACAGTAGCATCGCATCCCCGCCTCTTGCTCGATATCAAGCAGCGGGCTAGTCATGTATGGGGCCGGAAGTAGGACTGGCCTCTGCGACTCAAAAGGAAACAAGAAGGAGGGATGGGACGAGCAGCCGCAGGCGGGAGGGGTTCGTGCTTCCAAAATGGCTGCGCCATCAGGCTACAGCCCCAACGCCAGAGTCTTCAACGACGAGATGCCGGACGCTCCGCACGCTGTGCACACGGATGGGCTGCTAGGGCGCCGCCCAGACGCGGCCGGCCAATGGCGTGGCCGGACCCGAGAGGGTAGCTTCGAGAGGGGTTGCGAGGCTTGCGATGCTGAGACGGGACGCCCACGCCACAGCTACACGGTCCTGGAGCGGCGAAACGGCCTAGTTTCGAGGGCTGTTTCTCTCGTCAATGCTGTCATGTGAATCGTCCCGTCTCGACCTGGCGACGGAAGGACGCCCTCCGCAGCCGACGGGGCTTGTAGGTTACCGTCGACCAAGGACCCTGTCGGCCTCGCGTCGCACGGCAAGGGTCCTGCACACCTTTCTGGCGGACTCGTGGGCGCATTCCGTTGGGGCCATTGGGGGGGCGCACGTTGCACAGGTGGGCTGGGTATCACGGGCCCGCGGTTGGTTGGCGTCTTGGCCGGGCGACGACCGACGGCCAGAGGCTTTTGGTCGTTCAAAGCAGGCGTCGCCACGAGAGCCAACGCGTGCCTGGAGGCTGGGCGCAAGGCGTGGGCTTGGGCTTGGGCAGAGCGGCAAGGTCGCGCCCTTGGCAAACCTCGGGCGTCCCTCTCATTGCCATGCCGGGACGGGTGATTTGACGACCCCAGGGGCCCCAAAGGCGGCGAGAAGGATAATTATTGCCTCGGTGAGAGGAGTGCTGGGGCCGAATTGAGCTCGCGGCGGGCAAAGTTTGCGCGTAGAGGAGGAGTCGGAACGTCGAGAGGGCGGTAGACGAGAGACCAGGCAGGGGTCGTGGTGCATGGACAAGATGGCAAACAGGCATGGAAAATGCTGCATCTGCGATGACTCTTGCGGGGAGGCCGTGATACCTAAGGTAGGTACCTACCTCTTTGTACCCAGGTACTCTGACGGGGTACGGTACGGAGCAAGGTACGGAGTAATTATACCTTAACTCCGTACAGAGTATGTACTGTACGTACGTACCTGAGGGAGCGAGAGCCTGGCCAGTTACTGCTGCTGCAGGCAGGAAATTACCCGGCGGCTCTGAGTTGAAGCAGCTTAGGCGCTCACGACTGACATGTCCGGGCCAGCTGCATTAGCTGCTGGCTAACTGGCTAGGCCCAGACTTTGGAAGCGCCTAGGCATGCACGGCAAGACAGCTCATCCGACATGGACAGGCCCCTCGAGCTGGTTGATGAAACCTGGCCGTCTGCACAAGCTGGACGGCCTCGTCTCGACCGGCTCACGGTGTAGGCTCCCAGGCTTGGTTGCGGCATTGCGTTTCCACCTGGTCCTCGCTTCGTCTGCAGCCAAGGTCGGCGAATCCAACGGCGAGACAGTCGACTCTGCTGCGTCAAACAGACGTCGTCGCGATGCGAGTGCCGACGTGGCTCCTGTCGGCCGGGGGCAATGGCCTGCAGGACAGCTTGCCGCACGTGAATCTCGACAGACGCACCATCCGTTGCCGGGGCGCTGGACGACGAGGATGACGACGGGTCTAAGGCAGTAGTTGCAGTAGTCCAAGAGTGGGTGCAGCGAAGGATTGCTCCTCGTCTTCATGTCTGGCACGTGACTGTGGCTCACTCTCCAACCTCCCCAGGCACGCAAGAAAAGGCTGTCGAAATAGAAATGATGACGCTGCAAGGGGCGGTCCTCCATCTATGTGCGTTCAACACTGCCCGCCTTACGGATACTTCCAGGCGTGCCCAAAAGGGGACACACATACTGCACCGGCAGTGTAACGCGTGCTATTCATAGCATTTACCTGAAGCTCGTCCCAGGTCGACGAAAGATGCAGCCAGCCAGGAGCGGGTGAATGGCTTGGAGGGCCGTTGGAGCGGTGCAAAAGCTCGCAGCAGCGCATGGTAGGATACGGCTAGATTGACACGCATTACCTGCCACCCATCCCATGTCGCACTCCGGTCCGTACCTGGAGCCGCCCTACGAGGCACTGAGCCGAGTACCAGGCCGACGAGACGGACTGGAGTGTTGCCCACGGTGAGACACGCCGTGCCTGCACTCTCCCCTAACTTACACCCCGAATCCCGCTCGAGACATTGGGGTCCATGCCGCCTGACAGTCTCCAAGCGCAATCCGGGGGTGGGGGGAGGGAGGGAAGTGGACACATTCGTGGGAATCACAGCCCTCGCCGTCTGGGGGGCAGCGCCGAAAACAAACAGTCGCCCGGACCGGATCGGGGGGCGGATGATTTTCTGGTAGTGTTAGCATTTGGTCCTAGCCGCAAGTCGCACAGGAGGCCAGCTTTTGACTTTTTGGCCAGGAGGCGCACGCCTCGGATGCGCTCGCGCCCCGATTGGGTGCTGCTGGCGCTGGGGGTAACCGGCGCTGGGGGTAAGGATTGAGGGTAGGGTAAGGATTGGGGGGGGGGGGTTGCACAGTGTCAACGGCACAGTCCCTCCCCGGCCATCTTGGTTCCTGCCACGACGGAGCCACTCGCCTGGCGCGGGGTCACGCACCGTGCATGCGGCCCGCCTGGCGTGCGGCTGTCGTCGTGCTGCTGTCGTCGCGCTGCAGTCGTCGTGCTGCAGTGGACGGAGAGCCCTACGGCGTGGCACAGTGCCCGGGTTCGCTCTGTGCGCTCTGTTGACTTGGCGAGCTGCCATCTCATCCCTCGCCTCCTCCATTCCCCCCATTCCCCCCCCCCGAGCGGTCTCTCCCCCCGACAGACATCAGTGCTGGACATGTCGACACCGCTAAGGCAGGCACCGCGGCCCCGACACGGCACATCTCATCCCTCGCCGGGCTTCCACCCGCCAGGAAAGGCTGTCTCATCAGTCAAGGGCCCCCCATCCCCCCCCCCACGCTCTCCACACATCCATCAGATCAATCAGTCAAATCCAGTCCCGTCTCGTCCAAGCTTCGAACAGGGCGTCCACACCTGGCTTGAGTCTGAGGCCTGGCATCCCACCCCCCTTCTCGCCCTCCCTCCCTCCTCCCTCCCTCACCTCTCTCTCTCACTCTCACTCTCTCCACACCTTTGGCTTTTCCTGCGCCCCCGGCCACCCCCCTCCCCGGTTTCCAACGCGATACCGCACTCACTCTTCTCGCACTCTTTTCTTTCCCTCTTGCACAACACTCACGCACACACACATGCTCTTATACTCGCGCGCGCACTCATTCCCTTCAGCGGCTTTCTTCTCCCCCCTCCTCTCACTCCGGCTTCCCGCCTCCTTATCTCATCGTGCACACGCGCCACCGCCGCCATCGTCGACCCCCGAACCGTCCTCGTCGTCCGACTCCCGCTACAGCCGCCGCCTACCAGTTCGACGCCCGCCGCCCGTGTCCTCCATCTCCCCCTTCGCCTCGGCCAGTCGTCGTCGCGCACGCGCGCTCTCGATCGTCTCCGTCCCACCCCCCCGCTGCCGCCGATTTGCTCCTGTTGTTGGCTTGGCCCTGTCCTGCCCAGCCGCCGCCTTCCGGACGCCACCTCTACCGCCGCGCATAGCGCAATCAATCAACGAGTCGCACACGCGCCCGTCTCGTGAGGCTTTTGCGTCGTGCCCGCCCACGTCGTTTTCCGTCCCCGCCGCCGACTCGCCGCCGCTTTCGTTGCTGCGGCGTGCGACAGTTACATTTCGCCTTGCGACAGCGTCGCGACATTGTCGCATTCCCGTGTGCCCAGACACGTCTTGTCTTTGCCTGCTAGTGGCTCCCTTCGCCCTTGCCGCCCGCACATGTACCCGTTCCCTGGGCCATGAACCCCGAGCAGACAGCAGCCCCATCCCACCAACAGACAACAACAACCGCGGCCCCCCCCGCGAAATCGCTGCCATCAAACCGCCAAGGCCCTCCTGTCACCGCGACGACGACGGCTGCCTCCGACACGAGAGACATGGCCGCCACGGGCTTCCTGCCACCGTCACAGGGCTTCCGGCCCTTGCCTCCCTCGCAGTCGCCCTACCCGCTCAACATGTCGTCGGCCCATCTCTTTGAACGCGAATCCTGCAGGCCCGTCGGCTCTCCCTTTTCCAAATCGCCCTCGCCCATGGTTCGTGTCCTCATCCGCCGTCTGCCGCTCAACACCTCGGAAGAATCCCTGCGTCTGATGGTGGTTTGGTCCAAGGAGCTGGCCGACGTCGAATTGCTTCCCGTCGACAGGTCCGAAGACGAGGGATTCCGCTCGGCCTTGCTGAGGTTTCGAAGCATGGCTGGCGCCATGGAGGCCAAGCACATGCTCGACGGCCGCTCCAACATCTCCAACGACGCCGAAATGATTGTCGAGATCCTTGCCTCCAGTCCCGCCTCCACAAGGCGGCACGCGGCTGAGCAGACGCCGTCCAGTGCTACCTCGTCGGCCGCCTCTTCAGCTCCCGGCTCCCGGCAGCCCTCGCGCTTCAATGGCGTCTTCCCGCCCATGGACAAAATCTCCCCGACCTCCAACAGCGCTTTCCCGGCCCACGAATTCCTCAACAAGGACTCGAGCGCCGTCTTCCACAGCATGTTCTCCCCCCAATCTCCCATCGGGAGCCACCTGTCCGATCGACCGAGGATTTCGGGCAAGACGCTCATCAGTAACGATCCTGGCGACGATGACGAGACGAGCGACCTGCTCAAGGACCCTGTCGCATACGCCGAGAGCGGCGCCAACTCCCAGCGCAGGGCCACGGCCCCACACCTCCCCATCAACCGCATGGCGGGCCTCTCGCTCAACACCGGCAAGTCGCCCACGCCGTCGTCTTTGCCACAATACCTTGGCCCCCTCTCCCCGGTCAACGGGTCCGGCCCCGCAGCCCTCGGCTACCCGGTTGGCGGCCACGGATACCAGCCGCGACACAATTTCCCGCCGGTCAACCCGGCCGATCAAAACCCGCCGTGCAACACGCTCTATGTCGGAAACTTGCCCATCGATACGTCCGAAGAGGAGCTCAAGGCCATGTTCTCCAAACAGCGCGGATACAAGCGACTCTGTTTCCGAACAAAACAGAACGGACCCATGTGCTTTGTCGAGTTCGAGGACATCTCCTTCGCCACAAAGGCGCTTCACGAGCTGTATGGGCATCCTCTGCACAACAGTGTCAAGGGCGGCATTCGGCTCAGCTTCTCCAAGAACCCCCTGGGCGTCCGTTCTGGACAGGGCCCCGGCCAAGGCTCGTCAGGGTCGCCCGGGGGCGTCAACGGCATCATGTCCGGCAGCGCGAGTGGATTCACGACTGCCCACGGTCCCCCACCGGGCCTGGCTGCTCCTCCCGGGCTAGGCGCAGGCCGAGGCGGCTCGTACAACTTGACGACATCCATGAACACGGGCGGAAATCACCCGCATCACACGAGCATGTCTGGCTTTCCTGGTGGGCCGAATCACCCGTGGAATGCGCCCTTGTACAACAACGGGGTGGCCGCGGGCCCAAACGCACCCCTGCACGCCAACCCGGCCTATCTTCCCCGGCACATGATGGGGAGGTGATGACTCCGGACTGGCTCCTGAATGATGCTGCCTGCTTTTTGAGACTTGCGTAGCAGGTGTTGTTGAAGGCCTTTGTCAGATCCTTTTACCAGGCGATGATGTTGACACCGCGTTTGTTCTTCATCTTCTCAATTCCTCCGAGGAACAGTTTCCTGTCGTTTTGGCTCTCAGACACCAGGCTGGAAGCGGCATTCGCTTGCCAACAGTCATGGTTGAACACATGAAGTGCTGGGCACCATCACGCAAGGCCACGCGAATCACAGCTCTGCCTTCTGCGGCACGAGCATCCATCCCCTGCCAAGCACAAGATGCTTTGTTTCGTCTTTTCCCCCTCCCTTTTCCTTTTTCACTCCCGCTTTTTTATCCTGGCCATGGCTGCGATCAACTGATGTGGCTCATGTATACCGCCCGCGTGCCAAAGGCTGCTCCCGCTGTTTCGCCTTTGGCAGCCGCCTTTCCCAAGGCCTGCAAGTCGTCGCATCCGCACTCGTGCTGCATCTTGAAAGATCTGGAACACCGGAAAAGGCGAATGGGGCGAGGGAGTTGTTGGATGTTTCATTGCAAAGCATTTATGTGGCATGATGGCCATGAAAGCAAGATTGCAATTCTAGCGGGGCGCATACGGGCTTCACCCCTCGGGGAACGAATCTTGTTTCGTGCGCCGTGTCTTCTCGGAGAGCATTTCGTTCGACATCTGCGTGTTTTTACGGGCGCTCGAGGGAGTTATCCGGAACAATTGGCTCGATGCGGGCTTCGAGCTTAAGACCAACGGGGATATGGAAAGAGAGCCGGAGCCAAAATACCAACATGGGACAAAAACGGGAAAAGTGAGAAAATGTTGTGCAAATTTTCGATCACGCAACTGGTGTTCAGAGAAGACGGCTGGACTGGGACTACACAGGTATGGAGCAACAGGGTCCGGGCAAGGATTGGCTGGGCAAGAGGCATTGCATCCCGTCACACACGCAACTGGGAGCAGGAAGCACGCAAGGAACCGCCTGACCACGCTATCTCCAGCACGAGCTGCCTCGGAGGCAGATTTTCGAGCGCCATGTGGTCACGGGATCCCTCGTGCCTCCATTCTCGGCTCCGGCCTCTACTTGACAAGTATTGGCGGGCGTGGCGTTGCTTGGGACCCATCTTGACGAGCTTCGTTTCATTTCCTTTGCCATGATGATTTTGATTCCCCCTTGTTTTTGATGCAGCAGCAGGCTTGATATTCTTTTGCAATCTGGGTTTTTCGTCTGAGCGGCATTGGGTAGGTAGAATAGCGAACGCCCTTTCTTACAGTATCGAGCAGACACATCACTTGCTACAGCCTTTGGTGTTTTACTCTCTTGCAAATCACCACTTCGCGTCTCTACTTGCCGTGCAACTCGTCCCCTCGTGCCACAATGTCGTAGCGCTGGAATTTGTTCGACCGGGTTGGCCCCGCGGCAGGGCACATGTCGGTCCTGTCAACGTTGGCTGGTCTACTACTCGCTTAGCATGGCAGGCAAGCTATATGAAGTTGGTTGGCTGTTCCAAGCAGCGAGCGGATCAATGTCCACTTCCAGCACCTCCTCGCCGGTGTGTTTTCAACGGGGAAAGAGGGAAATGGTTCGCTGGTTTCTGCTTGTTTTCTTCTGAACCGGTGGCAGCAACAGTCAAGCTTTGGGCATCGGGCTCGTCCACCCCCGTCCACCATGGAAGCCCCCCTTTCCTCACAGGACTCTGAAGGATGCAGACTTCGGGCGCGTGTGACTACGTAGGTTCGATGGGGGACGGACAGGCATGCGGCTCGGCTCGCGCATAGGCGCCTGGGGGAGAGAAAGGAAGGGGTTTTTGTGGCCCAAAGAACAGATACAAACAACGGAAGGGGGGTGATGCTGTTGGTAATTGCCGTGTCGTACTGTAACTGGATACTTCCCAACTTCCTACATCTGCTTTATTGGAATCGACAAGGGCCCGGGTTTTGCGGAAGCAAGATGGCCAGAATGGAACGGTGGGCAAGGAACAGGGGGGTCTTATGAATGGCTCGACGTGTTCACGTAGGAGCCGAACCGCGGTGCCGAGCAGCAGGCCTGCCAGGCCAGACCATGCAGGAGCGGACGCGCCCCTGCCTGGAGCCACCAACTTTCAAGCACAATGCCCTCCGACCCGCGTCATCGTCGAATCTCTCCACGCTTGTCCTTTCTCCGAGGAGGTGGTGGGGGGGAGCCTGGAGCGTTCTAGGTCCCTGCTCTATTACATGAGAGAGAGGGGAGCGAAGCACATCGTACGTGTCTCGTGGACTTGGCAACGGTTGGCTTGTCTTTCCCTCCTTCAAGACCGTGGAAGGGGACCCGAGACCGAGGGCCGGCAACGACGTGTGTTGGGGGTGATGTGACAGCCGGAGTTGAACTCCGGAGGCAGATACAAGGAGGATCTGTAATTAGCTGCAGCAGCAGAACAAGGACGAGGGAGAGGGGTTTCATTTCATATTCCCTCCAGGTACCCTGTTGTGAACTGGCATAAATACATATATACATTACTTTTATCCCATTTTCCACCCTCCTCTTTTCTTTCTCTTACCCTGCTGGTCGAGACGCTTCAGAGCGTGTTCAGTCAAGGTCCTGGCCATACTAGGCTTGCATCAGCAGCACCTATTCGCACCAAGAGCATCTTTATCTTGTCTTTGTTATCTACCCCCTTGTCCTAGCAGCAGAAGCAAATAGATAGGAGAATAAGGATAAGGCACTATAGGGGCGAGGGGCCATTGTCTCGCTCTGCCGGTTGATTAATATGAGGCTGTGGCCAGGGAAGACGATTCCCCGTTCTCAACCTCGGTATTGGCAAAATGGCTTCTCATCCGGGCGGTCGCCGTTCGCACAGCACCACCGCGTCTGTACGATGCTCGGAACCAAGAAAGGATATGTTAAAACTCCCGCACAGCCATACTCTCGTGTACCCCTGTAGAAGCTCCTGCAAGGGTTTTGGCCATGATTCACTTGATGGAGATAGTGCAAGGTCGGTACCTATGAGCTTATGTTGCCGGCGGCAGGACTGAGCCATGATGAATTCTTCCTTCCATGGACATTGTTTCTCGTCTTGGCTATGATTTGAGTAACAAATCAAAGCCAATCTGTTCAGCATGGGGCGGCAAGCCAGACGTACTCGAGCTGGCAAGAGAGACTCAGCCTTGGGGCTAGTGGCAAACAAGCCTGTAGCTTGGCTGAGAGGAAGAACTTGCCGTGGCGTATTACAGGTGCTGTACCCGTAGTCTGTGCGACGACCATGGGTCAGGGACAAGAAGGTCCATGGGCGCGAGATGGCCGCGGGGCGATCGCGCGTTGGTACGTACGATCGTTAGACTGGCGTCGCGAGTCTCTCTCCTGGGCGACATACAACTCGTTCGTCGTTGCACGCCCGCATACTCTCACGAAGAAAGTAAGCCGAAAGGGCATATAATGTAGAATTGGGTAGTTGTTGTGTATTTTTTGTGTCCCTGTTCCTTTCTTTCTGCCCTAAATCCAAGCCCCTATTTATATCCCTCTCTCAGCAAGCTGAGAGCGCGGGCGGAAGGATAAGGGCAGGCACAATTGAGTCCAAACGATGATGCATGTTTTTTATCTATCTGTGCGACATTGAGGGGGTATTTATACGAATAGATACCAATCTGGGACCCGTGGTGGCCCTGAATCAGTGCCAATTCCCGTGTATCCCGATTAGGGCAATGTTCCTCTACTGTATCGATACCTGACTCAAGTCCTTGTGTCTGACCTGCCTCTTTCACCGGAGTTTATACGTGTGCGGATTAGACCGTCAGTCTGCTCCCTCTGACACCCTCCCTCTCTCTTTCGAAGTATAGGTATAGGGATGAGGGCGACCCCCAGCCTCCTCGACTAAAGACGCTCCAGTCTTTTAATAGGAGCTTTCCAGCCTTCTCGTTAGACCCGGTTGTCCACTCCCTTGTTGGCCTAGCTACCCATGGGCGACCTGCCTGGACTCAATCGAGAGACGCTCTTCGCGACATACAGCAGCGCCTGCCAATTCGCCCAATGAGTCCACGCCCAGCTCATCTTCTATTGGCAGCCCGGTGTGTCGTATCCAGGCACATAGCTCTTCGTCCGTTTCTGGCAGTTTTTCGCAGGGCCTTCTCGTCCTTTTTGGCGTAGGTACGAACAAAAGCGTCCCAGGTAGGCGTCACGGGTGGATGAAGGGGGATGTTTAAGCGGAGACTGGGTTAGCGCGTTGCAGCCAGGACAGTGTCAAGGTACTCCTAGGCATAGCGGGAGGGAAGAAAATGGGGGAGGAGAGGTGGGAGACGCGAGGTATCGGAGTCGTCTGCGAGACCGCGAGCAGGAGCCAGAAACTTGCATAGCCAACCCGCGTTCTTCAGCAACGCTGTATCCTGATACATACATGTGTCTAAGCGTCTATGGCCACGTCTAACTGCAGCAAGTCGCTCGCGTCAAGCATAGGGAGTGGATCCTGTGGAGCGTCGTCAGGCTCGTGCCCTGAGGTTCTTCGCGATGTCAGAAGTCGTCAACGTCGTTTGGCAAAGCCGGCGCCGGTTCTGTCACTAGGGCGTTTGAAAATACTGCGACGGCAAGGAAGTCCAAGCCTAGCCTTGAAGCTGTAGTGATGATGAGGATCACAGCGGCCGTGCGGCGGCTGTGACCGATCGTCACTGTAATCCTTCCCCACAGCGCAGTATTCAATCTTTATCTTCATGAGCGACCAGGCAGAGAGGTTTGGTCGGACTTTTGCAAAAATGGGCAGGAAGGTGGATGTTGGTACTTTATACGCGGTCGTCTGCTGTAAATTGAGTATCTCGTCTGACTGGTGCCTCCAGAAGTTCTTGAAACGCTGAAAAACAGCAGGTCCCCCGTTAAGGACGGTATCTCTTCATCGCGGCGTGCATGCCCTCGACGATAAAGGTCGTCGTATGCCCAAGGTGACGCTGCCGGTCAACGAAGCACGAGACGATCGTTTCCTTCAAGGGGTCGAGCCACGTTTTGACTGCATAATCCACAGCC